ATGAAACTTGACAATTGCCCGCATCAGCATATCAATTCTTCTACGTTCTGCTGTACAACAAGTCCAAGTCAAGGTCAGCTGCTGTAGTGCAAAGGAGAGCTCGAACTTTCTAGAGTATTGATGATAAGAGGACAGCAATATCAAAAGCAGAAGAGGAAGAAGAACAGGCGGAATGCTCGTGTTGTACTGAATCAAAAACAAACACGGTCGTCTTCACAACACAGCCGAGGCGATTATCATGTTGGTGAACGAGGAGAGGGTGCCAGGATGCTGCAAGACCAACTGCCAAACGATCCATTGAGATGGGCTGCTGCAGAGATCACCCACCTGAGCTGCTGCAACGGCTGTCACCTGGTCCGCCGAAAGGTCGCTACCTGGGCTGCCACGGAGGTCACCTGTGCTGCCACGGAGGATGCATTGCCCTCGCGGGCTGCCTCGGAGGTCACTCACCTGAGCGGCCGCGGAAGTCGCCTACCTGAGCTGCCACGGAGGAAGCATTGATCCCGCGTGCTGCCTCGGGGGGTCACTCACCTGATCGGCCGTGGAAGTCGCCTACCTGAGCTGCTACGGAGGAAGCATTGGTCTCGCGTGCCGCCTCGGGGGGTCACTCACCTGATCTGCCGCGGAAGTCACTCACCTGATCTACCACGGAGTGGTCACCGGGTCTGCCACGAAGGTCATCTACCCGGGCTGCCATGGAGGCCACCCACTTGAGCTGCCGCGGAAGTCGCATACCTGAGCTGCCACGGAGGTCACCTGTGCTGCCACGGGGGATGCATTGCCATCGCGTGCTGCCTCGGGGGTCACTCACCTGAGCTGCCGCGGAAGTCGCCTACCTGAGCTACCACGGAGGCTGTCACCGGGTCTGCCACGAAGGTCACCTACCTGGGCTGCCATGGAGGTCGCCCAGCTGAGCTGCCACGGAGGTCATCCACCTGGGCTGCCACGTAGGCTGCCCACACGGGCCGTCGTGCAAGCTGCCCACCCGGGCTGCCATGGAGCCCGCCGTCCGGGCTGCTGTGGAATCTTCCCACCCTGGCTGCCGTGGAGGCAGCCCCACCCAGGCTGCCATGGCAGGCTGCCACCCGGGCTGCCGTGAAGGCTGTCACCCGAACTGCTGTGGAGGCCGCCCACCTGGGCTGCTATAGAGGTCTTCACCCTCCTGAGAAGCCGCTTACCGGACGGCGACCGACGACATCGGGCTAACCAAAGTGGTTGGTGCCCGTGACCTGGATCTGGTGAACGACAAACTGAGGTGGGGACGAGGAACAACAGGTGCGTGTGTGTACTGTACTAGGTATACGATGTCATTTTGTAGGCGTTGCGGAACTTAACATGATTGTGTAGATTTAGATGAGTAAGGGAGGTGACTTTTTTGTAGGAGTTGCGAGGACGCAACTAGGGTTGTTTGGACTGAAGATGTAGCAGGCTACATCTTTTTAGATCCCAACTTTACATTTTACGCTTCAGGCTGGTCCGTCACGAGCCGGCTCAGCCGGGCAGTATCCACGACCGTTCACACGTCTCGCCCTCCCCATTCCCCATCCCCTCCCTCCTCCCCCCTCACCCATCACTGTCAGCACATAATGGGCCGCCGTTAAACTCCAATTAAGACAAGCACCTCTGAAGACAGTCACATCATGATGAGTCATTGGCAGACATTACAAAGCAGCTGAAGCTACAGCAGACGTCAGCGCACTGTGAGGCAACGCGCAGGCTTAAGGCACGTAGCACATTGGGTCTCACGTAGCCATGGTAGCACAACAAGTGCGTCACACTGCAACGGAATTTGATGCTCGTAGCAAATAGTCCCCGAAACAGACGTAGTTCAGGACGTCTCCACCGCGGACAGAAGGCGCTGTTGTTCGAAGCAGACGTAGTTCAGGACGTCCCCACCGCGGACAGAAGGCGCTGTTCTACAGACCCCCCCCCCCAAACCAAGATGACGTCAGTGGGCGGAGCAAGAGTGACGTCACAAGGGGCGTTGCCGGCAGACGAAACGGAAGGAAACAAAAGTTTGAATAAAATGAAATTGAAGAATCAAAATTAAAACTCGAAAATCATCAACCTTTCGGGGATTGGTTTATGCCAGCGACTACTAAGATGATAAAGCACTCAACACGAAGACGATTCGACGGCCAAAAATTGCAGACGCAGAGGAGCAAGGTGACTAGACAGGACAGAGGGCGCCATCTTACGGGCCCACCCACAAGAGGAAGGCAGAGGAAGATGACGGCGCAAGGGCGTGGCAGTCACCGCCCCCCCCCCCAGCTATAAAAGGGTGCGTCACCCAAAGGGCGGATAAGGCAAGCTGTAGTGTCCCGAATAAGTCCTCATACTTATTTTGTAAGGGTACCTTAATCGGTACTGGACAGCCTCAGGGGAGGTAACGATGTACTCCAGGACACGTAAGGCCTTGAAAGTAAATCCCAGGGTTTAAGGAGAGTTCCTGAGGAGAGTTCCAGGATATGAACGGTGGTCCCTGGGTCGTGAACGGAGGTGTTACACGCGGACCGGAAGAGGGCATAGGTAATCTCTCCCGGATAGAGAGATAAGTCGGATGTAAATCGCGTATATGTGTACCATAAGTCTATCGGACGTGTGGGAATCCCATAAATTAGTAGGGTGGATATTTGTACATATTTATTCTGGACGGCCCTGCGATAAGTATCTTTGTCGCCGGTTAGCGGAGCATGCAAATGGATTTCGGAAAGAGACATTTATCTCGCCGGGGAGATCGTCGTCAGCCAGACACCTAACACTATCGGAGGGAATTTCGGGGGCTGCTAAATCGATTGGGGTGAGTGAATGGAGGGCAAATGCTTTGTGTAAATGAGCGTAAGAATGATGAAGGATACATCTTAGGATAAGGCCGATAGGAGTTAAGCAGAACTCAGGTTGGGCAGTTGAGCTAATGATTCTCGAGGGCAACTAAACTAGCAACGCTAATACGAACTAAGTGGGCAATTTTCGTAATGGGGAGGCCAGTGATATAGGAATGGGTGACTGGACGAATGATCACATTCAATTAATCAATGTAATTACCACCCACAAGTTTGGCAGTGGTCATCGGGACTTCGAATGCCCTGTCCTTCACCTGCCCAACTGTGCCGCAAACCCAGCTGATCGGATCCCTCTATCCCTAATCCGAGCAGTGAAGAAGCATCTCGTGCATCATGGTCTATACAATGAACAGAATCATCAAGCCTCTAAACCAAAAAGCATCTTCCATCAGATGTATTTGTATGCAAGGTGGATCGGTATCTACATCTCTCCCAGGTGGACGTCATCTCAAGATCTCTATCTGGATCCCTACCTCTCTATAAGGGATCTATGTACATCTTTCTCAGGTGGATCTCATCATCATCTGGATCCATACCTCGGATCCCTAGATCACCATCTGGATCTCTCTGTAGATCTATCTCGGGATCTCTTCAACGACTCTCAAGCTCCCCTGTTCTACAAGCACTACTATCGAGTTCTTTCCAGCAGCAAATAGCTCTGTTCTTCTACAACCAGCTGAACGACAGCGGACTGCGGTGCTGGGTTAACCGCAAGGAAGCAGTACCAGCTCCTCTTTTTCTTTCCTTCTTTATCCCCTCGCTACAGTCACAAGGACAACAACTCCCCTAAAAAGTAAAAGCATAAGTTGTCTTCGTAGCAAACTGCCAAACTATAACTTCGCTGAGCCCCTCCGCCATTTCTGACATCCCGTCCTTCAAACTCCTCCACTCCTGGGTCGGGATACTACGTGACCCGGTGCTAGACGACCAAGCGATGTTTTTCAGCTCTGTGGTTGGCAGACTTTTGGCACTGCTGTCAGTGTGTCAGCCCTTCCTGGCCTCAGGAGAGGTGACGGCGCGGAGGGAGAGGGGGAGGGGAGGGACGGAGACGAACGGAAAGGAACGGTGTGAGAGAGGTTGACAGGTGGAAACAATGGGGACCAGAAGGAAAAATAAGGGAATGGAAATAAAGCGAACGACGCCATAATGAAAACAATTTATGAAATGAGAACATAATGAATTAGAAAACTTAAACCTAAGACATCCTAGACGAGAGACTGTTGAAAGTTAAAAGCGTCGTGGACAAGTGAAGCTAAATGGAATATGACGGTAACGAAACCTCTGGAGATACTATCCAAAGCCAACAACAACGGCAATGAGCATTGAGCACTCGGCGAAACATGCCGCATGTAGGTACCTACTGCGTCTAGCATAATTCTGTGCCACCCTGTCGCGATGACGCGAATACAACCCAGGAACATCAGAAAGGTCAGGATGTCAGGCTACGGAGGTAAGAGTGACCTGAACCGAGTGTGTCGTCTTTTTTTGGCTTCGACTTGGCGACGCTTCTTTACGGATCAAGCTTGACGCGGTGTCAGGTTACGTATAGACGCCAGCGGTCAGTCACCTAGGTCACCATTCGATACTACCAGTCAGCGACCCATAAGGCCACCGCTCACAGACCCTATCGCTGACGGTAGGGGCACGTCAGAGGTGGCCGGCTGGCACCCGTCCTAGCCCTCCCCACTCCCTCCGCTCCGCTCCATCCCACCATCAGCGTGGCCCTCCGCGGCGATCGCAGGGCGGTGGCTCGTGAGTGCTCCCAGTCCCATATTAATGAGCTCAATTAGGTGGGGTAACTGGGCGGCTGTCAGCAGCGGGTGGGCGTGGAGGGCGGCCATCAGTGGCACACCATACGGCCATCGCACCCGACCTCTTACAGGACAGTTATCGAGACAGGCCGTCAAAACAACGGCGGCAAAAAGTGCAGATGGGTAGGGATGAAGATTAATGCATTTAGTTGTACAGGTAGTCAGCTATCCCTATTCCACTCCACCATTGAGGAAGATTGTGTGCAAGACAGTGGACATATGACACATTACATACATCGCTCACCGAAGCTGTCACGACCAGGACACTATTAACTATAGCGAGACAAGTTTCTCGAGCAAATTCATGTCACGCCATCGTTCAGTGAGGACGGCCCAAGTTACTCACCCTGCTGCTGTAGGCTATACTGAAGGCCCTCGCGGGGCTTGAAGATCCTCAGCTTGAGCGCGTAGTTGACCATGCACGGCAGCGTGGTGCGGAACAGTTTGGTGCGATCCGCTGCCGCCAGTTGACCCACGTACAGACGCAGCCCCTCAAATCGGGCCGGGTCAACGGGGTCGTCGGTCGGGTCAAGGCCAACGCTGAAACGATCACCCCGAACGGTCAGAATCGGTCACGTTCCGGTGCTCAGCTGCGGCCAAACGAGCCGTATTGCACGTTACGGGAATTATAGTGCCGGAATAAATGTGCTGGGGTGATTGAATCAAAACTACACACGGATGTAGGGAGAGGCAAAAGGCGCGAGTGGGCACCCACGAACAATAATGACCACTGACTATGGGGCTGGGACACGAAGAGAAAATAGACAGCTTCACCGCTTGGAGCCGTTATAAGTGGACTCTAAATAGCGAGAGTATAGCAGATAATGAACAGATGTAGAGAGAAACATATTTTGCGTTAATTTGACATAAACATAAAGAACCACGAGGCTGGCTGGTTTTTTCAAATGTATTGACTAATGTTTAGGCTAATTAAAGGCAGCTTTCGCGTTAAAAATAAACGCACAAGGTGAGCATGAACTGTGCATGACAATGCGACGTCGTGGACGATGCTCCATGATTCTTCAGGATTAGCTGCCTTGTGTAACTAAAAAAATATATTTTAAAGTATAATGCAGATAACGCTTACAACTAAAAACATCAATGCGACAGCCGAAAATTCGTAACGGCAGCAATGTGTAACAATATAATTATGAGCGGTTCAGCAGCTTAAAAATAAATACCTCCTCCGCAAAAAGCTGGCATACAACATCTAGCATGACGACTCCGCCTCGCACAGTCCAAACATCTAAACGTACGCCACAGACCACAGCCAAGACGCGAACGTTCCCGCAGTGTCGAAGTGAGCATTAAGCAGTGTCAGTAGCCCGACACTCTGCTGCATCCGGTGAAACAGTCGGTGTCACTGGAATTACGCACCATTGGCGGTAGCTCTGTTCCAACAGGGCAATTAGCCGCGGGAGGTCATGGGATTGCAGGCACGGGTCAAAGCGATTAGCCTAACGGGCTGGGGCGCTCGTTTCTGCGCACGGGTTCCATTCTGAAGTCACATGGCGCCGACTGACAGCCGCTGTCATGGAGAGAACGGTGGGCGGCTCTCTGCCTTACAAATAGACCAGAAAAAAAAACAGTGGAATAGCGGAGTAGCGTATGTGACGATCAAGTTGCCGTCATATTTTAGCCAGCAGTGTGCCCCTTAGATGGATAGCAGCCTTGCAGATAAGAATAATTATTCAAGTGTGAAAGTTGATTGAAACCGCGGTTTCCATTTGAATACACGGCCGCCCTAATGGCAGCTCTGTGATTCGTGCAAAAATACACAGTGGGGATAAAATCAGAATGACGTCGGGGATAATTAATGAAGATAACGTCCAAAGTCATCGTTTCATGAAATAGAATGAATTGGTTATTAAAACAATGGAAAACACAGTACCGAGACCAGCGCATAATCCGCATAATTCCAGCACAGCAGCACCGAAAAAAATCCGTATCAATAGTAAATATCGGCGTAAAACTGGCGCCCCATTTTCTAAAATCCCACTTCAGCTCATCTTTCCCCCAGATATCACAAGAACTACCAGGGAAATAATGTTCATACGAAACTCTAGCCTCGAAACACAAACAATTTGTATTCCTCACCAGCGTTCATAAGCCGGAGCAATGATAGCTGCATTGTTTCTCGAGGCGTAACTAATGTTGCCGTAATGGATGTGCCTCGACCACACGAACACACGATTAATTGTGCTCATTACCCTGTGCAACCCTATATAGATCACAGGCCTCGTGGATGGGCGTCAGCTATCTTCGGCGATATACATTATCAACACCGTGCGATTGCCGGGTCTCCGCTGGGCAGGCGGCAAATGGCGGAGGGCTCTGCTCATTAAAGGCGCATCTAAACACCATTGGTGACTTGCACACGCTATCTTTACACCGCGACTTTGCAGAAGGATCACATTGGCTGTCATTACGGCTGGTGGTGTCCTCTAATCACAGAATGCAGCCGTGTCCAGCACACGCAGCCCCGTGGGATACCTTCTGCACCTTCCTCTCAGTGCCGACTTTAGACCGCGATCCGCCGAGTCACCTTGTTTTCCAGCGCCGTGCGTGACTACTCAATGGTGCGTCCAGTGCACTACTTCATCTCACCAGCAGCACATGCAGGCGACGGTGACGCACGCTCGCATGATGACACTCTAAGACAGTTCCACGCCGTGGCCGGTTCAGGAGGACGGAACGTCATGAGGCATGACACAGTTAAGCAGGCGCCAAGCGTCCGACGCGATTAAGATGACTATGCAGTGGTGCCGTTGGCAACCGTCTGCAGTTCTGGCCGGCCTGGCACGGGGCGCCAACAGGTTAGTGGGACACCAGGACAGTCTGAGGGACCTGTCTGAGGCTGCAGCCAAGGTTAGAAGGTCTCTGAACGAGATTTCAACAAATTCTGACTCCCTTGTGTACTTTCCAGGTCGTTTGTTCAGTGCTTAGCCAGCTAATGCTGAGCATGTCTGGATAATGTGGGCATAAGCCTGGCATCCTGACTGCTCCCCACCACTCCACCAGCTGTCATTGAATACAAAGTGGCCCACCGACCGCATAGTCCAAACCGCGCTGAAAATCCGACCGACGCGGTAACGACCCGACCGCACGCGGCAGGCGCACGTGCGCCGCGGTCGCACGTGCACGAAAGACCGCTGAGCACGTGCCGAAAAACTGACCGGCGCGACACGGAACAACGCCGACCTCTTCACGGTGCCATCACACACGATAAGCTCCAGTGCGTTGACCCTCTGCCGATGAGCTGATAGGCACTTTGCAGTTCTCAGGCTAAGTTTTAAGAGATGTAAAAGCCGACTTGGGGTAGCTCGAGAAAGGGAGAGAGGGAGAAAGATAAGAGAGAGAAAGTGAGAATGAGAGAGATAAAAAAGAGAAAGGGAGAAAGAGAGAGAGAGAGAGAGAGAGAGAGAGAGAGAGAGAGAGAGAGAGAGAGAGAGAGAGAGAAAGGGAGAGAGAGAGAGAGAGAGAGAGAGAGAGAGAGAGAGAGAGAGAGAGAGAGAGAGAGAGAGAGAGAGAGAGAGAGAGAGAGAGAGAGAGAGAGAGAGAGAGAGAGAGAGAGAGAGAGAGAGAGAGAGAGAGAGAAAGGGGGAGAGAGAAAAAGAGAAAGAGAAAGAGAAACAGAAATAGAAACAGAAAAAGAAAGAGACAGAGAAAGAGAACAGAGAAAACAAGTTCATGATGGTTAGGTATCAAGGTTCCTACTCTTTCTCGTGTAATCATTATCATTTCTCGATAATTACTGGCACGGAATCATTGCACAATTAGCAGTCTCGCTTGCCAGCTGAATTATCAGCAATATTATTTCTCAATTATACCAACATCTCTATCGCTTAAATAACTCGTGCCTGCAATATTTCACAGGCGAAATGACCACCTACAACCAAACACAAATAATTGATAATCATCTAGCGAAAGCAGTCATTATGCTTGCTGATTACAAAGACAGATAGCCAGCCGATATTTACTATCACACCATGGTTTATTTATAATACACTGCACGCAAGTTCGGCTGTGGATCCACACCACAATGTGTTGGTTGCACGTTATCTCGTAGCGTTTGTTTAAGAAAATACAATTAAGCTTTATTCCAGTTTATTCCAGTAAGTTTGTATTGCATAATTTGTTGTTCTGTTTCGCAACTTGACGGACTTTCAGGATTGAAAATTAAGGCATTATTTTTTTCAAATCATCAGCCTAAAACCTTCTTGCATTACCGAGGCTGGTAAAAATGTGACAAAATGAACAAAATGCATACCTTTATAAAAGCTACAAAAAATGTATCCTCCGGAATGGTAATGTGCTCTTCAATAAAACAGATGGCAACCACGGGTGAGCTTACTTGCAAAGGTCGTGGAGCCTGTGCATGATCTCGACGAGCTGCTCGGCGTTCTGCGCGTCCTTGACCTTGGTCAGGTGACGCTGTACGGTGGGCCAGTTCGGCAGGTCACACGGCAGCAGCACCAGCGCCATCTGAAAGGTCAAGGGGGGCTTTGTCGGTACGATTCAGTTCATTACAGTCACATGTCACCTTAAAAGATCACGGTGATCGCGAATCGCGATGAATGTTGCTTACTAGTCGTCGGCCATGTTACATTCAAAGTAAATACTCTGTCCAACACCCAAGGTGACGTTCAAGGGAAGCCCGTTTCCTGACTTACCTACGTGCATTGCGTCGTTTCTAGAAAAACTAGAAGAGAAACTTTGAGTGAAGATCTCCAATTGATAAACGGTGGACGACAAAGACAATTATTCATGCGTCTGCAAAACATGTTTATTTCTTTATTCCATTAATATTGATGTTAAAAACGACATACGTAATTATTTCTGACGTAATTCCAATGCAAATATACACACGACTCACGAGGCTGATAAGCATAGCGGGCCGCCTGAAGTGTTACCACGACAGGCTACAAAGAATCAGGATTGTTAACAGTTTCAAGTATCGTAGTATGCAGAATGTGTCAGTATGTAGGTGAAGATGCGATTTAAAAGTTAGTGTAGACTGAGAAGCATCATACGTAGTCATGACAACTGGCAAACAGGTATACGGCATGTGAGCTACCAGATGTAAACAACAAACATTGAGCTCTTCAGGTTAGCTGTTTTGCGAGCTACACTACAATAATCGCCACATGATTTCCAAACTGAGCATTTTATAAGTCAGTGAAAGAATTGCAAATCCCCATTGTATATGATTCCCTATCATACCTTTGCAATATCTCCACGTTCACCAGCCTTGCCTCCAGCACCGTTACACCGTAAAATTACCAATCATCCACCGTCTCCGTCCTTCACATCCCGCTGCGGGCACAGCCGATCGCAGCTTCACACACAGTTCGGTCCACCACAGCAGCACAGTCCCTCTCTCACTGTCCCCAGCACACTGCCGCCGTGTCGACACCCAGCCTCCGGCGCGCTCCCGTCGGTGCCGACGGCCGTCGGAGTCGACGCACGCGGCCTCCAACGAGCCGGGCGCCTCCCCCCCCCCCCCACCGACGGCCGCCACCGGGGGCTATTTATAGTTCCGACCGTGGGCAGAGCCAGAGCCGCCGCGGCGGGGACACTGCCACCACCAGATGGGAGACAACTGGAGACAACAGGAGATAACTGGAGACAACTGGAGACAACAGGAGACAATAGGAGACAAAAGGAGGAAACGGGAGACAGCTGAAGACAACGGGAGACAACAGGAGACAATAGGGGTCAGCCAGTCGCCGGCTAAATACTGCTGAACGGTTCAATGCTGCTGAGGATGACAAACATTGTTGTCTTATGCTCTTTGAGAGAATATAGCGATTGGTGGAACCTCGAAGACGACGACCGACAGAAAAACGTCGAGATGCTATGCTTCCGTAACAATTTGATGGTGGAGTTACGTCGACACCTAGGTCAGGTGTTTTCCAGCACGCAGTTGAGCGGGGACGGGACGTCCTGTCAGCACAAGCCAGAACGCTGATAACGGCGGTCAGCACTCTCGCAGGACCCACAAAGCGATAGTGTAGTTAATGTCATGAGTCATGACCTGAGCTACATTGAGCACACACGTAATAAAAGCGACGTCACACTGGGACGATAAGTTCGATAATGATTCTCGGCTGCAATATCGACGGCAGTGATTTGCCGTGCAAAGCAAATCTTCGTTATCAGGTGTACTCGACATTCATCCCGATTTTCAGGCATCACGTGGTATTTAAATAGGTATTACGAAAAATCGACCTTTGTTCTTGCTTTAAAACCGAATAGGTATCCTTAGCACTTCTTAGGATCTATGGCTGTTTGTATATTTGTCGTCAATCACCATTTAATGCCTGTTGATCAACTTTTATTTCGCACCTCCGTCTCGTCAGATATTTCCTCGGCGATCTGATTCCGGTCGGCGGTGCTGTCTGAGTGAGGACACACCGGGGTGACCGGACGGTAACAGAGCTGGCACCGGTTCAGGACGATATCGGCAGCCGCCGAGTGAGGTCACGGACCGGACAGTCCCATCGGGGAAGGGGCGGGCATCGACGGTACTCCAGACTGAAGGTCCATCAGACCAGCCGCGGAGATAAGACCGGGCCGGACAGACGGTTCGTAAGGCGACTCATGGCTGGTAACCCGAGATATTGTTAGATAAATATGGTTTCATAATACGCCAAATCTAACATTATAGGTTTCAAACAGTGCCAAATGCCTGTTCGAATGCATCTTCAAACATCTTTTTTGTTGTTGTTGTAAAGAGCTTGAATAGCAAAACAACAAAACAAAACGCTGACAGTTCGCTCCAACGTGAACTTATCGAAAAACAAACAAGTGTCTTCAGACTCTTCAGTCGGAACACATGGACGTCAAGAGACTGACAAAAACAGCTGCTCAAACAAGTAAAACTACGCCTTTCATCATCTTAACCTTTTCATCCACGGAACTATGTTTAGGCATCTCGAACGTAGAGCAACCTTCAGCTGAGCCGTCGTGTCAGGCGAGCGGTGGCGAAGCGGTTTCTCGGTTTGCGCTCCTCACGGTTCGTCGGCTGGATGACGTCAGAGCAGGGTGCCCTGTGACGTCACGAGCCCGACTGCCGCCAACGACACATGCTGACGAGGCACACACCTCCACCAGGATGACGTCATCAAGGACAGCTGTGACGTCATATCTGCGCTGTCGACTGCCAAGGGTGATAGGGAATGGCGCGCTACCGAGCAAAGGTAACACCTGTACCTATCGTTGATATCTAGTGATTTTAGCTTCATCATTCGACGCTCCGATCCCTCTGATCTATTTTAAGTAGAACGTAAGAACCCTTCTTCCCTAACCTCAAACCTCTGACCTGGGATGGAAGGTCACCATAATTGGCATAATTCGACGTGTGCACTAGTAGCTCCTCAGGGCCGTGCTTAGTTGTGGTGGGTGACTGTTAGCAGGGCTGGGTGGCCTGGCCTGTCCACCGAGAAGTTCTCAGAGTCGGAGCTCGGCAATTACCCATCTCACTCGACAAAGCAAGTGGAGTTGGAGATGGGAAAATGGGATAGTCGGCTCTTCTCACTGTCATTTGACCGTTTAAACCGTAGAACGACTCTGAAAAGCCCTTAGCACGACCAAGCGAAGGGCGACTGGGTGAGGTCCGACCGAGGGAAACCCGTCACGAGTTTTGTGACTGACCCGACTTCAGCTGGTGGAGACGGTCCTGACGGATATGGATTTGTACTTTTACCGACCTAAGCTGGCGGAGCTCCTCTGGTCCAGGGCGATGCCATTGCCAAACATATACATCGGGTGACTTCTCAACTAGGAGGCAACCAATCTCGTCAGTAGCTAACCGAAGATGAAGCTTCCGTGACAGAAGCAATGCTATTATCCGACGGCACCCAGCTAAACTCCGCCATAATAGATAACGGCCGGCAATAATCACGCCGAACATTCAGCAAGTGCTTCAAACGAGCCGTGCCACAATCTCCGGCCAGATCCTCCGTTTCACAAATGGCGGGTCGATTGGCGAGTCGCCCGCGGAGGCCCCGCTCCGGCTGATAAGGCCGGCAAATTGCCGGGTTTCATTTCTGGGCACCATCATTGAACTTCGCTCATTTTAAAGGGCAATTAACATTTTCTTATCGACAATAAGGTGTCCTCGGGGAGTTAGTGCCTAGTTTATGATCATGACGCCAGCAAATGATAAGTGATCTGCCCGAAATTCCAGATGCTATCTACGCTTAACCGTTTACCCGGCCGAGTTGATAGCTCCATGGCACGAGCGCCGTGTTCGAAGAATTCGCAGCTCTAATTGCTGGGCAATACGCAGTTGAGTGGGGAGCAGCCAACAGGTGCGCCCATTTGCACGGCATGACGAGATCCCATCACCTCATGCATAGCCGTCGAACAGTCGCAGTTTCTATTTCCGACTGCATGTACTTGTACGTCCGGGACCCGGGTCAGTAAACCGCACAACAGGAACCACCATGGTTCTTCGCAGCGATGCAGATATGTGGCTTCACACTGAGGAAATGCCATGTCTTAGCAGCTGTCTCCTTTTAGCTCGTCAACATTATAAGACTTCAGCACCGGGCACTGCAGGACATAGAAAATGACAATCCTGCACCTTCTTCCCTCATGTAACCTGGATATTGGACTAAAATAATGCGAGACACGACAGAAGGTGCAGAGGCGAGGTCGCAGATTATGCTTCTCGAATGGACGAAATGTATCTTTGTGTGTGTGGGGGGGGGGGGGGAGGGGGCGTCAAATGCCAAGGCAATGGCAGTAGAGTTCATAATGCACATCAGATTGACTTGAGCATTTATCGGTAAGTCTCTGGGTTATAACAGGATTTTTGTTTTTAAATACAAGGAATACCAAAACACGCAAAAATTTCCAATGAATATGAATCATGAATGTGTATTGCACACCGATGATGATGAGGTTAGAACTGATGGCGATGGTCATGAGCATTAACAAAGTGACAATATTCAGCACATATTTGATCAGCTTGGTATGACAAACAAAACAGGCGACATGGGATCACATCAATACTTACTCAGCCCTTCAGACATACTCCAGCTGAATAACTACACTGAATGACCACAGTTACCGTGGTTAACCATGTTGCCTCTGACATTGCAATGACATGACACTGACTTTGAATGCATTGAAAACAGATGCCCCGAGGTGCTGAACTTTTCCAACACAGACAGCTCGCCTCAATGCAGCGCATCACACGGGTTCAAACTTTGAGGAAGTCGGTGCTACCCGTGTTCACTCACTTTGTTCAGCTCACCCAACAATTATAGGCGGCTAGACCATACAGCGGACGGACAGCCAGCGATAGCTCACACAGCCATACGGCTGACCTAGCGCCACCTGTGTCCAGTCACGGGACACCTCAAGTGTTGGAGAACAGCCATCAGATGGCACCCCGTACCAAATCACATACGACATCGGATCACAAAAGCAAAACGTGCAGGCGCGACATCATGAAACGGAATGAGGCAAGCATTCCTGTCTACTGCGGAATAAAACTAGTTAGCATAAACAAGTAACAAACATGACAACTTACTAAATGCACCTATGGCAACAGCATTTATCAATCAGAGAACATGTCAAAATTACGCGAATGATAAGTCCGTCATACAAAACCAACGCATCATACAATGCACGTCACGTCTATAAAAAATCACGTCTATAAAAGTTCACAAAAATGATCGCAAACATCACCCAATCGACCAAACATTACTAGCATTCTATCCTGAACGTCACGTAAGAGTGCAGACTATCATAAAATATCGAGTTTAAAGGTAGTGTGCCAGCTTTCCTGGGCCGTATGGAGTTAATGGCCCAGATAAGGAGAACCGGATTTTTAGAACTTATCCATACCTTCAAAACTCATGGAAACGTCTTAAATTCTTCAAATTTTGAGTACCCCAGTGCGAAATTCGCCCCGACGGGTTGTCGGTCGTACCCCAACCACATTTCACACCACTATGAACAATAAATGCACACACTGAAATCGTTATTACCGATATGCTCATCCAATCAAGTTTCGATAAACCCGTTCATCATCATCTCCTGCGGTTTCGAACACGCCTGTTAGGTGGTGCAGTAGACTGCACCCAAAGCCAGGGCCCCGGTAACGTGAGGTAGCCGAGTCGGGGCAGCGTGCGCTGACCCAAGCCGGGGCCGCGCGTCCTCCCGGTGTCATGTGATAGCCCGGGGCTGCCCGCGGGGATGCGGTAGACCGCGCCCAAAGCTGCGGCCCCGGCTTGGGTCAGCGCACGCTGCCCCGACTCGGCTACCTCACGTTACCGGGGTCCTGGCTTTGGGCGCGGCTTCTGCTCATACTTTGTGGTGCGGTGGTGGTGCGTCGGGCCGCGCGCTCTGACTTCGGCCAAGAAAAATGCGTCAGCTGATCATTGTCATTTCTGCCACTTGCGTGTGGTGAAATGGGGTTATAACTTAAGAGACGGCTTTTTCATATCAATTATTTTACATAAAATCATATTTCAAACCATAAATAATGTTCGACAGCCAAATAAAAGAAACAATACCAATACAGGCTTACAGTTTAAGGCTCGACATTGTGTTGTCTACGATTAGACAGCTGATAACTCATTCCCGTACGTCGTAACTCTATAATGACCTTTGCTTATTGTCACATGTGCGCCGCATTCACGATTGTTGCCGACGCCTGTTTGCAGGTCAGCCCACTACAGTTGTTATACATATCGAAAAACCGATAAACTTTTAGGCGAAAAAGGCACTATTCCAGGCCCATTTTTGATTTTTTTTTTTTGCGATATTAGGCAAAAACAGAAGCTTCTTATCCTAGGAAAAATAAAATGGGAAATCTTTCAAAGGTGGCACACTACCTTTAAACTGGTCACACCATTGTCCTATCAAGGCATTGGCGCTACTGGCGCCCTAGCGCCGTTCCGCGTTGACCAGCAAAAAAGAGCGCTGGATTGCGGTGTCTCAGGGTGAGTTCCACGAAACGTTTTTGCCAGAAATATCCCCCATCGGGCGGGTGAACGAAAAAACGTTTGTGGAGCCTCAACTTCTTGTGAAAGGAATATGCTGTATATACTGCAAGGTGAGCTGAGCAGTTCATTGTTACCTGCCTTGCTTTGGCAGCTATGCTGATAGCTTATCAGTGTGGTAGCTATCAACCCATATGTTTTTGAAATCCTCCCAAGTACTTTGCAAGATGTTTTCATTAATGGTCACATCATAATAAACACTAACAGCAATAAGGTAAATGTGAACATCACAATAATATTGGACATGAGAGGCGGTACGGTATTCGCATGATAAAAATGAATAAAGCGAAGACTTAAGGCTGAAACAGACTCTTTCGGCGTTCAGGAAATCGCATGCAAGAGCCTATTCAAATACATTATAATTCTGCCCGCATCAATCGCATCCGGGAGGTGCGTGCGATTGATGCAAGCATGCTTCCATGTATTTGAATAGGATCACTCGCATGCGATTTCCTGACCGCGGAGTCTGTTTCAGGCTTTACGGTGTTTTCGATTGATCATGATTTCACGATTCGATTTCAACCCTGTTTCACAGTGTAAAACCAGTAATCAGTCATCTGACGTAAATGAGGATACAACTTGAATACAAAAAGTAAATTCAAGGCGACTGAAAGTGGAACCTGGACGTCTTATTAAGTCTACAAGTACACAAGACGTACCCTAAAGGAGACATCATTTGAGCTCTGTACCATGCCTGGTCGTGTCCTGGGCTCGTTGACGCCTCCGTTAAAAACTTCACATTCGTCACTTCTTTCACTGATGGCTGGTCATGCTGAGAGTGGCCACGGAGCCCAGCGAGGCGGCAGACGAGAAAGGTGGCAGTGGCGCGCCCAGGCTCACCTGAGGGCAGGGCAGGACGGTGGTCAACGCTCTGGTCGCACTTCAGCTCGCCGGTATCACCAGCAAGCATTGATAAAATAAACGTTATACACCACACTCGCAGACTTCTATTACAGCATGCTGCACACTTATGACACACCTGTACGTTTTATCATTATTTTAAATCCTTTATATTATATCCGACCCCGGAATGAATCATAATGAAAACTTTCAGCTTTAGTAAGCGTAAAACAGAGCTTGATCAATGTGGAAGCTGAAGAGACTGGCTTTGCATGAGTTTGCACGATGAAGTCCACGGGTTTGCTATTTCATTCCGGTACTGACCTGGGCGCTGGGCGCTGGCGGCAGCTGCAGGTGGTGGTTGACGCCCGGCATCTCCGGGGTAGTGAGGTTGCGCGTGTCAGAGCCCATCAGGGTGGGAGGCCGCGGCCCCGGCGGACCGGCCACCGAGCTACTCAGGCCGGCAGGGTACGCCGGGGAGCTCACCTACAGAGGCGCAGAGAAGTGAGGACAGAGTCGAGGTGGGGCGCGACATATAAACGCTATCACAAAGCAGACCTGCCTCAACTTGGAGGATCAATCATTTATCAAATATGGATATGAATGCCAATATTTTTAACGAAAAATAAGAGGCGAATATTAGTTCTAGGGCTTACGATAACAAAAACGAAGGGAGCTGGAAAAAAAAAATCATGAATATGCATTGCGGATAAAAGTTTATCAAAATCGGATTTAGTATCACATAGTGCCAATGGACAGCAATACAATGAGGAAATATTCAGAGAGCGTTTCAGCGACAACGTGGCGACTCACCTTGTTGCCGATCTCGGGCAGCAGGTTGCTGAGGTTGAAGCTGGTCAGTGTGCTGACGTTGGCCGGCATCCACAGCTCGCACTGGCCGCGCGGTGTCTCCGGCTCGGCCGGCGCGGACCGTTCGTCGCCCCTGTGGCGACCGTCCCGCGCAGCCATTGCCGAGGACGGCGGAGGAGGCGGCGGCGGCTCGGCGCGGCTGAAGATCGCCCCCAGGAAGTTGGAGTCATCCACTGGCGGGGTGTACGTCGCCGCCGGGAAGAGCGTGTTCGGACAGTCGAAGAACGATGATGATAGAAGGATGTCGTCCAGCTTCCGTGCCTCCAGCGCGGCTTTGGTCGGAGACCGATCTTTCCTGGCTTGTCTGAGCTCGGAGGCTGGCGGCAGAGGGTACCCTGCCTGGACGGCAGCGGCGGCTGACGGCGGAGGCGGCGGTGGAGGCGCGGAGCCCAGCCCGCCACGGTGCCCCCAAGTGCTGCTCTGAGGAGGCAAATACTGAGGACTGTACACTCCCATTTGACACAGCTCTGCTAGCTCATCCGAAGGCCTGTCCGCGACTGGCGGTGGCTCCGCCGCGATCGGAGGAGCTAGCAAAGCTTCCGCAGAGTAGCTCGACTTGGTCTTGCGGGCAGTGCTGCGACCAGCTCCTTTCTTCTCCGGTTTGCGACGTTCTTTCCGTTCATCTTTCCGCTCTTGACTGACCAGATGGTGAACGGAGAACAGAGACTGGCTTCCAGACACCGGTTGCTGCCTGCCGCGCTGCTGCTGTTGCTGCTGCTGTTGTTGCTGTTGCTGCTGCTGGTGCTGAGGGTCGGTCTGCAGCGACTGCTGAGAGTGCAGCTGCTGCTGTTGCTGCTGCTGCTGCGTGGCCTGCTGCGAAGTCAGCGGCCGTTGCATCACCGAAGCCGATGTGAACGTCTGACTGATATCCTCGTTGGCAACAGGACGCTGCTGCTGCTGTTGAGTTTGTTGAGACTGTGGCTGTTGCTGCTGAGGAGGCGGTGGAGGTGGAGCCTGCTGCTGTTGCTGTGCTGGAGGCGGTGGCTGTTGCTGAGTCTGTTGTTGAGACTGCTGTTGCGCCCCGCGATCTTCCAGCCTGCGTCGCTGCTGTTGTCGCTGCGTCTCTGCTGGTAGAAGTACCTGAGGAACCGTATCGTTTGCCTTCTGCTGCGGCACCTTGTAGTATCCCGGCTTTGCCGAATACTGCGGCTCGAAAGGACGCTGGTAGAAGGGCGGGATCGGGTACTGGGGTGCAGCTGCCGGCGGCGGAGGCGGCATCTGTTGCTGGGGTCGTGCCGGCACCATCTTGTGAGGAGGTGGTGGCGGGGGTGGGGGAGGCGGTGGCGGCTGCTGCGGCGCGCCGTACCAGTACCCCTGCTCCGGCTGGTACTGCGGCTCGTACATTGTCTGGGAAGCGTAGAACGTTTGGTTGGGCACCTGCGATGTGCAGTGGTAGTACGCTGGTGCGCGACTCTGCATACCATACATCATTCGTCCGGGTGCCGGATATGCTGCCTGTTTTGCCGCGTCCGGCATCGGTTTGCCTTGTAGGGGAACGTGGTGGGGCATGTTCACCTGCCGCGGACCTGGCCCCGAAAACTCGTGACCAAACGAAGGCTGGTACTGCAGCTGCGGAGCTGGCACAGGACCTGGGACCGGTGGCTGGCATCCCCGGACCGCAAACCGCTGCGGCGCTCCGCTCATGTCAACCGAGGGCATTGGTACCATTGTTGCCTCGTACGCTGCGGGCGACCGAGCGCTGACGCCATCTCCATAGCCAAACGCAGGTCTTTTGGAAGGCGGCGGAGGCACCGGAAGCGCAGCATGGGGACTCTTGGCACGCGGCCCTGCCTGGCCTGGTGAAGCGCCTCGACGAGTCGATTCCTCCCTTGGCGGGGGTGGCCGCGAGTCGTACACGCTCTTATGGGGTGGACCAGCTGTGTATGGTAGTCTTGCTGGAGGCACTGGTTGATGTTGTGAAGTGACAGGAAGAGGATCTAGTCTCTCGCAGCTAGGTCGGCGACCAGGCGCAGGACCGGGGGCAGCAGTAGTTCCAAGTTGTTGGTGCGTCTCGGTAGTTCCTAAAGCAGTTCCGCTTGACACCAGTGGAGCGTATCTACCAGCAACTGAGCTAACCGCAGCAGAGGTCGGTAACGACTCAACAGTGACCGGCACGGTCACTGAAGCAGCGGACGAGACTGGAGTAAAGACAGTAGCTGGTACGGCAACCAGGTCTTGGGTCGTGGTAGCGACTGGCATGGCGCTATCCGTCATTATCATCGATGAAGCGCTATACCGCGTCTGTCCTGCACTAGTGGGACCCACAGTGGAGCGCACACCACTAGTCACTGCAGGGCCACGCATACTGTGGTGTGGTCCAGCGCTTGTTTGGGAGGTGACGGAGACAGCTGTGGACTCATGAAAGAATGGACCGTTCCGCTGACTTCCTGAGATAGTCGCTTGCACTACAGAGGCGGTAGAAACTGGGTTCACCGTTGCCTTTATCGTCGAAGAAGTGCTCGATGAACTCGGGATCACTGGCGCTGTAGACAATGCAGGTCCAGGCGTTGTGCTTTTGAAAGACGCAGCAACGTTCATTGGAGTCGGGGATGTAACGTGGGCTGCCCCGGTGGAAGCTATCGACGTTCCGATGAACGCACCAACTGCTGTCGACCGCGACACGGATGACATCACCGTCGACACCTTATCGACAGAGGGCGAAGCAGCGGTGATAACCTCGGTGGAGCGTGACACTGACTGAAGTTCAGTGACCTGTGTTGCATCAAGGGTCACTGAAGGCGTCACAGCCACGCTGAGCTTGGTCGGTGCCGGTATGGACGGTGGTGCGCTGAGTTCGGCCGACTCCTTCGAACAGAGAACATCGATGCAGAAGAGAGAGGCACTGCGACGCGGTGTGCCCGCTAGTGTGTAGATGGACGACAGCCCAGTTGGCGACTGCGCGGGTGTGCAAGGTTGGCAGCTCGCAGGCACTACTGACAGTGACACGCTAACCGCTAGAGATTCCGTTGATGGAATCTGCTGGATTTCGGACGTAGCTGCACCCAGCACAATATTGCCCGATGTTGGTCGGCGACCAGCAGTTCGCGCATCCTCCGACATCTGCGAGGTGTTCAATGATGGAGCTGTGTGAGGTACATAGTATGGAGGCAGGTGAGTTGACTTTTGCAGCATAGTGAGATTCCCTGACATCGGCAATGGCCGTGAATCAGTGCACACAGAAGTATGAGATGTAGTTGCCGTTCGGGACATGGCTGGAGCAGTCAACAAAGACGATGGCTCATACAAGGTAGTAAGATACTTGGATGTCACCCCACTTGCTACGGGAGGCTCAGGAACTGCTCGTCGGCCGTCGGACGTAGTTGAGGATGAGATCACTTCTACAGGTCTGTAGGACTTCGAGAGCACAACCTCCACAGCATTAGCAGTTGAAGTTTCGGGCGTAACGATCGGAAGGACGGCATAACTCGCTGATGTAACTACATTGGAAGATGCAGCTGTGCTCACTGGCTCACTGAGCGTTCTACGCCAAGTGTTTCGACTTCCAGCTGTCGACCTCTCAGTTTGAGCTTCTAGTCTGGTAGATGTGCGACTGGACGGTTGTTCTGAGTCGCTGACAAATGCCTTTACTAAAGGCTGGGTGTAGCTGACCGCATCTTTTGCTTTGGTCACTTCGTCGACCGCCGACGGAGCTGCCGTATCATCTCGCGAAGTCAATGACCACGTCATTGACTGATGCTGTGTTCCCGTTCCAATACTTGGAATTGCAAAGCTGGAGGTGGATGCAGTCACTGGTGGAAGCGCAGACTTGTCACCGCTTGTTGCATGAGCGTTAGAAATGCATGCTTTTGAGTTTGTGGAGGGACATTGATGTCTTACCGCATCCACTTGCGAGGTTGAATGCCGACTGGGAAGCTTTGCAGAAGCCGACGGCAGTTTTGCTACTGTATGGCTTGTACTGTCACTAGCAACAGATGACTTCAATGTACTCACACATGCCTCTGAAGAAGGCTGACTGGAGTCGGTAGCGTTCAAACTTGTCAGTCTGTCGCCAGTATCAGCAGGTGCAGATGAAGACACTGTGACGTTCGGCGTGGGAGTGACAGCATCTCCGTTCTCAGCTGATGTGACTGTGCTTGCTGGTCGTATCGAGGATGACACTCCGTGAGGTTCAGTCTCTCTCGGTGAAGTCACTTTGGAGCTGAGAAGAGAAGAAGCAGTAGAAGCAGTTGTCACGACATCAGTTGTCTGGATACATGCTTGACCGCTTTCTGAAGTGGGTGGGCCTGCACTTCTTCCCAATTTCTCAGTCACTGTGACCATGTCTGTCATTGACTCTGTCCTGGAGAAGACAGCGTTCGGGTAGAGCTGTGACACGCTCGGACAGCATGTCTCATTTCCATCCACCTCTGTAGCTACCACTGATGTACGCTCAATAACGGTTCCCGAATTGCGACGCTTTCGACCAGCCAATGAAGAACTTGAGGCACTTGAATCTTTCGGTCGGTGTTGTTGGCCGTTCAGAAGACCACGTTTCAGGAATCGGACCTTGTGTTGGCGTGGCCGGATCGGTGCAACAGGTCCCTTTCCCCAGAAGAAAGCGACTCTCTGTCTAGGACCAGATGCGAGTGCAGATACTGCGCGATTCTCATTTGGGGCTGTTGCCGCGCGGGATGAGTCGGACGCTCGTGCGGTTGTGCCCGAAACTGATCCTTGTGATGATGAACCTTGCCGACGTGGAGGTGAGATGGTTGGTTGTGACGACGAGGTGGATTGCTGAGGGTGTGTAACATGTGGCAGCGATGGAAGGTCCGATGGCGGCGGAGGCGAGTCGGCTTGCTGAGCTTCCACGTAGGTAGGTGGCGAGCTGGGCATCTCTGTTGTAGACTCGTTAGCCAGGCGGGTCGGCAGCTCGGTTGTCTGTTCTGGATCACCCAAAATGGATGACGGTCCGCCGGATTCACACAGAGCAGTTGGACGGATAGAATCAGCCGAAACACCCGGTCTACTGACAGTAACAGTGGCATCAGCACCTGCAGAAGCCGAAGCCCCGACATGTGAAGGGCAAGCCGAGCCGGTGACACTGGTGAGCACCACAGTTGTTGGCCGAGACTGAGCTTCCATTCCCCCACAGCTTGTTGGACACACAATCCCTGGCCCATGGCACGTCGCCGCACGTAACGCCAAGCTACCCACGCTGCGGACTGAGGCCGAAGGCGGCGCGGGCGTCGGTCTCGGTGCCAGGCGGGGTGGGGGTCGGCTGACCGGCGCAGCAGCTACGGCGAGCACAAGCAGCTGGGTGCAGCCGGCCGCTGCAGCCGACTGCACCAGCGTCACCGGCTGCAGGGACGACTGCAGCAGCGACTGCGCTGACGCCTGCACAGGTAGCGGCAGGGACATCAGCTGTCCGGCCAAGACCTGCTGTGTGGCTGGCATCGGCCGGGGTAGGTAGCCAAGATCCACACCAGTGACTGATGCAGACACCAGCCCGGGAGTGGCGCTAACTAACTGCACTGTGCTGTCACTGCCAAGGCCACTTGCAGAGCTAGTACTGACAGGTCTGGTTGGACTGGCAGTGAACTCGGTGCTGCTCCGTCCCGATGGCCCAGGTTCAGACTCTCCAGCATCCGAGCGTGGACAGTCCGCATCTGAAACACCAACAAAAATCCAGACTTATGCATAGAAAAGTAAAATTAACATAGCTTGTAATACGAAACAGATCGCCTATTTGCAGTATTTGATTATTATACTATACATAGCAATTGGCATCACCATTTCTCCTTTGTAGCCGCTCACGTCTCACCTGATCCGTCACTGGCAGCGGTATCGCTGACAGCATCTCTGGCAGCTACAGCAGCGGGAGCCCCGGAGGTCCCGGGACCGGGAGTCGGCAGGCGACGACGAGAGCTGCGAGAGCGGCCGCCGGCACCGCCGCCGCGGGCCTTGAGCACGTGGTAGCTGAGCTCACTGTTGCGCACCTTCAGAGCGGCCACCTGACGCTCCAGGTCAGCCAGACGACGAGCTGACACGATAAAAGACCTGTCAATCTTATGTCAGCTAGCTGGGCACGAAGGACACTTTGATTTTCAATATATGGCACAAATGGCTTCAATACAGTAATCTGGATCACTTTTCATCACGATGACGCTGCATTTGAAACCAGCATAACGTCACATTGAGCTCCTCAGTGTGACTCACCCGCCTCTGAGCCCGCCGGCGGGCGAGTGTCCTGTTCCCGGTCCACCGAGCCCCGCAGCGCCGCCAGCTGCTCGGCCGCCTGCAGCAGCAGTGCCTGCTTGGACGGCAGCGGTGCCTCCGGGTCATAGGACGGCAGGCAGCGATACAGTCGGGCGAACCCGGCAGCGATCCGCTCCCGACGGTGGCGCTCGCAGCGGGCACTGAGGGAAGGGACACGAGGTATCATAATATGTCCACAGAAGAATATTGGATTAAATTGCTTGATTAGTGTTGAAAAATAATAACATTGTTCTGCAATCTTTCACAGCAGCCATATCCTTCTTCAATAATTCACTGCAATGATGGATTGACATCACAAGACACATCAGGTTATCATCCATTTCAAAGCTGTCTGAGAGCCAATGAACTGAGTGTGGAACACTGTGCATGGACGTTCATTACATGCTCTGATGGAGAAGTCAGATGGAAACTAACTGTCAGCCACTTAAAGCAAAATTGTGGGAGATGCGTAATGCATTGCTCATGGACTTATCACTATCCTCATGTCAAAAATTGGACACTAAATTTGGAAGATTCAATAGCTGATGGCTCTGTTTTTATGGACTCATTTTGACAACCCTTGGATTAGAAGTGAAACTCAATGACTGTCACTTACAATAATATATTTCTTATTCAGAACTGCAAGTCACAGATTTTTTTAATACAGGGTCTGAAAATATTTGGAACATCATGTGCCTTCTCATATTTACTTACGCCCACAGATTAAAAGAAAAAATCAAATGTCCAGACTCCAGATGTCTACAAATGAATCATAATACCTATCTGGAAACAAAAAAGCACAATTTGGTAGGCATCACAAATGCTAGGTATATTGTCAAAACTCACTGGAGTCCCAACTTCCAACTTCCAAGTTCCAAGAATCATCAGTTTTAAGCTTGGTTAGCCACACAAAGTCATGCCAAGACAGAAAATTCCCATTGTTTGGGTTTTGGTGTCAGAAAGGCAAATCCCAGCCAACAAAAAAGAATGACAGTAACTTTTTTATCCAAATAAGCCTTTCATGGGTTGATGCCAGAAGCATGTGTAACAAAGCAAATACTTGTGATGCAAAACAGAAAAATATCACATCAGTACAACAACGAGTCATCTGGCTTCTGCAAAGCCAAGATGAAGGCATGGAGTAAAGAATAAAGGGCACTGAGCAATGACAGTAAATAATGGGTTCTGTACTTCATGATGGAGGCTAGATTCCCTTAGAGGCCTGATAAATAACAGCACGCATATGGCATGGTATGAGAAGAAATAGATCTCAGACAATAAGCTGGCACACCCAAGGCCATCTAATATCTATAGAATGTACAGTCATTCCACACCAACCAGCCTACATACTGTTTGACCACTGATGTCAATGGAAAGGCCAACTCATTCTCTATTGATAAAAAAGGGTACCAGTTTAATAAGACATGGACAGTTTTGAAGTTATATACAATTCAAAAACACTTTGCAGCGGTAACAACACAGTGTTATAAGCGCATCCAGCTTACATACATTTCTACTATATTTTAAATCATTTTTCGATAGTCTGGAATTTGCCATTAATTTGATCAGAAAATATCAATTACAAACAATACAGAATATGTTACAATGCATAAAAATACTCTGTTACATGAGGTAATTTATGTTAAAATTAATATTACTGTAATAATAACAACTACTACCACTGAAACATATCAGCATTATCAATTAACAATTGGAAAATTAATCATAATAGAAGGATGAAGAATACCCTGTTGCTCATTTCTATCAGAAATAGAAAAAATAAACCAATATATATTTGGGCGTGGTCCTTCTTCAGTGGTACAAGATCACAAGGTTATTCTTCATCCTTCTATTAATCTTATTAACAATGCATTGCTCAGCACAACGTTCAAATACCTACCTGAAACAATTTGATTTGGAAGATCTTAAAATTTTTTATCATTCTAGTAGAAAAATTATACTGAATTTTACACAATCATTTTACATGGGTTAGGGCTCACATCACAGGTTTTCACATCACGGCCTTTAATTCCTTTTTTCTCAGTTTAGTGTTGTTTCTGAGTTGCCAAGTCAGTAGGCGGAACTATGGTCATGAGTACCCAAATATAGGAACGTCCCCATTTTTGGGAACGGAGTTCCCAAATATGGGAACGGGCGTTCCCATTTATGGGAACGGAAGGTAATTTTTCGGCCGTTCGCCCACTAAAACTTATTAGTGCATCACGTCTCAAAAAAGTGCACGCTAATTTAAGTATCTACTAAGTCTCTATAAAATTATCTTTAATCTGACCGTTGCACAAGGAAATTGACCGTCGAATGATATTTTTAATGATTTTTTGAAATGATGGAATGGGGAAAACATGGGTTATACTACATTTAACTTGCAATTTTAAGGAAAATGAAGCGTTTTTTACATTTTTAAGTCAAGTATAATAATTTTCGCCTGGTTATGAAGTTTCATACTAGCGACACCAGATGCTGACATATGCAAGCGAACACGCGGACAGTCCGGGGGTAATATTGGTGACATTTGGTGTCGGGGCGCACGACCGCATGGAACGTCAGTGATTTTACCGAACTACTGTTGTAAACTCAGTTTCAGTGGTTTAAAATTATTCAGCTGTATTTTATCATCCCAGAAAGACATATTTTATTTGGATGCTAGCTGTTTATAGCTGTTTTATAAGGAGCGTCATGAGCGTGGTTTTTGTCTTCCGTGTTTCTAAGCATGATCGTTTTGGGGGAATTTCTCTTATATAGGTCGCTCTGTGTGGCTTATTTATAATTTTTATGCTGATTTCGATCATTCCTCGTGCCCATCCTACCAGGCCTTTTGCCACTTACACTCATCAAGAAAGGAAAAAACTAGATTTTCATTGGGACTAGGTGTTTTGAGGGTGTAACATATTCAGCGTTCCCATTTTTGGATACACTTCCTTGTGCTCGTCAACTATCGGTGATAAACAGACAGGTGCTTGACATGTCTCCACCCTCGGCGCGGACGGTGGATATAGGTATGGAAGACCTTGTTGAACATCGCTGAGCGTTGTGAATTACGTAATCCTGCAGAGGGGGGCGTGCCCGCTGCGAGATCGACGGGAATAAAAGCGCAGAAGACCGGGCGAAACATGCGACGGTCTTGCCGGAAAGGTCATCTGATGATTGTTGCGTTAACAACAATTTGCGGCGTTGGACGTGATGCTTGTTAATGAAAAGAGCCCCTGAAAGGCGTCGGTGAAATTGTTCCCAATTTTGGGTACGCCGTTCCCATAATAAGGAACGCTTGCAGCGCCAGTGTACGAGAGCGTTCCCAAATTTGGGCTCGCGGCCCAGATGATGGACTGCTTTAGAAATAGGGGAACGATTTGAAACTACGATGGGCCTTACAATATCAAACTCTTTCCCAACAATATTGAGACAAATATCAGGCGGTTCACGATCGTTTTATATTTTTTGGACGTCTTTTAACGGTTCTTTTTCTTGTTTTAAATAATGCCTTCATGGCGTTCCCATATTTGGGTTTATCGTTCCCAAACATGGGAACGATAATGCGTTCCCGAAAATGGGTACGCTTGACCATAGTTCCGCCTACTGAAGTAGCAATGACTTTCTTCAGTGGATTATTACTCACGCAACTTTTATAACATGATGCAGGAGTTTTCATCCCCTCCATATCTTTGAAATAAGTAAAAGGTGAAAAGAGGTTTGACAAGCTTGAGCTCTGCTTGAGGTAAAAAAATCGCACTTGTTTGAAATGCATACCAATTACCAATACTTACTTTAGCTGCAGAACCTTTGGTCTCTTTGGTGGCCGAGGACGGTCCATTTCAGAGCTACTTCTTAGTTAAAAATATGAATAAGAAATTCATTTTATTGGCGCCATCCTTCGCGCAATTCAATCACCTACAACAACATACAACCAAGGCCCTTCTTGGCCCTATATAGGGCCTGTTCCAGCGCCTCCAGAAACCTCCAGAAAGCTCCAGAAAGCTCTAGAATCCTCCAGAGAGCGTTCCAGCGCCTCCAGAAAGCTCCAGAAAGCTCTCGCCAAAGCTCCAGAAACCTCCAGTAGCCTCCAGAGAGTTGGAAGGTCCAAATTTCTCTGGAGGCTCTGGTCTACAATTATGGCGCACATAAGACAATCACGAATGTAAACAAAGGACTTTTGACTGATTATTCTACAACTTGAATGTAATGAAAATTACATTGCTATAATTTTGTTAATATTTCTTAATAAAATTGAAAACAAATTTTGCGTATCAAGAGAGAACAATCGTCATTCTTTTGGTATCTGTGATGCCAAGCTCCAGAAATCTCCAGATTGCGTTCCAGCGCCTCCAGTGAAACCTCTGGTAGAGCCTCCAGTCAAGAATTTCTACTGGAGGCGCTGGAACAGGCCCATACCCATACAACACAAAAACAAACACACGATTCTCTGCTTCTTCCGACAACTGTTCAAGACTTTTTCCGCGAGCAGTATTTACAGGTTAGCAAAAATAAACCAATCAGCGTGCGGCAACGCTCGACGCTGATTGGTCCGGCGCTCGTGACGATATAGAGGGGACCAACAGGGAGTATATTTTAATCCCGCCCAGAAATGACAAACAACGCCTCTCACCACCACTGCAACGCACGGACGTTGTGGACCACTCAATATACCCTGTTGTGGACCACCCATAGTCTACGGACGGACATAGACCACAGCTTTGCCACAGTTATTCCTTACGGCTCTGAATGAACTTGTGGATTACGGCGGGGTTTCTTTCAGAGTCCATGATATCTAACCCGCGCCCGGCTGGGGGTCCTGGATTTCCACGCCCTGCTGGGGGGGGGGGGGTGTTTGAACACCCCCTCCCCCTTCTAACTCGGCTCCTGGGCCACTTAGCGATACGCAAAAGGCGGCGTTCGAAAGAGCGTCAAAAATAATGACGAAATCACTCGGTCAATTTTTTGCTCAGGTCAAAGGTCAGGTCACCAGAGATCATTGAAGGCAAAATTTCGCCGATTTCCAGGTCGAATGCCGACAATTTCCAAGAAGCCAACGCATAACTCGGGAACCAATAGAGCTACAGCGCCGCGGAAAAGCGCATTCGATAGCCCTACTAACGCCCTTTCCGAATAATTCTCTCAGATTTGACCTAACGTCAACGGTTTTGCCTGCAGGGGTTAAAAACTGCAAAAAAAAACGATTTTTTTCGGAAACAGTTTTTCTGCAATAACTTATGACCCAAGCCTTGTACGAGCTTACTTTTACCGGCATCGTGTTCCTCTTGTCAAGACGCATCGAATGAAATATAACTTGACCTTGAAAGGTCAACTTAAAAATGTGACCTACGGTCAAGGTCATGACCTGACCGGAATAAGGGTCATGTTGCATATCAGTCGATCCGTATCGTCGAGCTGAACACATCTAAGGCGTTTTCATCGCTCTAGCATGCCTCTATCAAAAGTTATTTGCGAAAAACAGTTAGATACCATTCGTGACCTTAGATGACCTCAGGGCATACACAGGGGTCACGAACACCATTTTTATGTTCAGTGTGTCTAAGTTACTTGTAATTCAGTGTTTGGGAGTGCTTATAATGTCTTTCGTCCAAAAGAGGCGCATTTCAATTTTCTCCCATTGACTTAATGGCCTTTCGACCTTTCGAGGTCAACATAGGTACATATGTTTCGATGCGGATCGACGAGAGGATCACGACGGTGTATTAGTTTGTTCCTAGCTGGGATACCTTGAAAGTTATTCGAGAAAAACTTCATATATATGTAGTGCCGCAATTTTGACTTCCTTTTTGCTCATGTGACGTCATCTTTGACCTGACCTGAAAATGACCTCAATAAAAATTATAGACCTTATCCGTGTGTACCCTGCACCGTTTACCGCTTGTCGCTATCTTGCTTCATTCTCGAGATCTCGCTGTCGCTCCCGCTCGTCACGTGACCTAAGGTCAACTTTTGACCTTTCGACCTTTCGAGGTCATCATACATATGTTTCGATGCGGATCGACGAGAGGATCACGATGGTGCTGTTAGTTTGTTCTTAGCTGGGATACCTTGAAAGTTATTCGAGAAAAAACTTCATATATATGTAGGGTAGACCGGGGCAAGTCGCCCCGCCGAGGTAAAACGCCTCACCGATGTTTCTCGGAACTGGCAGAGTTCTGGGGAAACATCATCTCTTCTATAAAACGTGCACTATATGATGATTATATGAGCAGACTGGAAAGAAATTGTGATGACTCTTTCGGGAGATATAGCCAAAAATGTGTTTTTTGAGTGATTTTTATGTTTTGTTGTCAGATTATGTATCATGGCGTTCTTTTATGGTCCACATCAGGTTAACGACTTTTATGTATTTTGAACAACTATTGTCTAACGCTTATCGTGCCGGGTTGGTTCGTGTTAAATTATGTCTTGCTGGAGTGCAAGGCGTTGTTCTCTGACCGAACTACGTGATGGGGTAAAACGCCCCAGTAGGTCGCGGGGCAAAAAGCCCCTGGGGCGTTTTACCTCATGTGTTGTTCGGGCTACCCACTTTCTAATGTTCGGTAGCTGGCGAACAGTAAGTTTCTATGCCTTTATGTGTATTTTTCTCAGCAACTGGATGGCAAAGGAAGTATTTTGTTAACATTTGCATTGCAATAATTTATCGTTTGGTCTTATGAGGTAGGTGAAAAACCTGCTCATACAATAGTGTCATAGCTGAACACCTGACAGGATGGAATGTGCTAACTTCAGTGCCGTGCCTCCAGAGGTCTAACGGACCTCTCACATAAGATTTAGCCAACTACCATGTTAAATCTTAAATCTAAAGTATGGGGCTACTTGCCCCAGGCCGTGGGGCGTTTTGCCCTGGGGTTGGGGCAAAATGCCCCATTTGCAGTTGCTTCACAAATCCCTTCCTAGCTTGGAGTCCGATCATAAGTGAATGAATTTGAGGGATGCAATTTAAAGTAAAATGTCCAAATAACGCATTGAGCACAAATTTCGCCTTTCAGGTGGTGTGAGACAAAATTTATGTAGCAAAATAAAATATCTGGGGCGTCTTGCCCCAGGCTACCCTAGTGCCGCAATTTTGACTTCCTTTTTGCTCCTGTGACGTCATCTTTGACCTGACCTGAAAATGACCTCAGTAAAAATTATAGACCTTATCCGTGTGTACCCTGCACCGTTTACCGCTTGTCGCTATCTTGATTTATTCTCAAGATCTCGCTGTCGCTCCCGCTCGTCACGTGACCTAAGGTCAACTTTTGACCTTTCGACCTTTCGAGGTCATCATACATATGTTTCGATGCGGATCGACGAGAGGATCACGATGGTGCTATTAGTTTGTTCCTAGCTGGTATACCTCGAGGGACACAGAAATACCACTAAGGCAACGATCCGACGAAAATTAAGGAAGCTTGTGCGGTATCTCGACTTTTGACCTTCTTGGAGGGATCACCGATCAAGGTCAAGTTAAGGTTACAGGCCATAGCCTGTGACCTTAACTTGACAACAGTTGATTAAGGCCACCAATGCGGTACCCCGACCCCAGGCCCTCGATTAGGAGATCAAGGTCAAGTTAGAAGTCAAACGTCATTGTCCCCGATGGTCCTTCAGGCGAGGAACACAGACACCACTTAGAAAACGATCGGAAGAAAAATAGGGCCACTTATGCGGCACTCCATCCCTTGACCCTCGATCGGGTCAAGACTCGTGGTCAATTTAGCGGTCACAGACAGGTCAGCGATAGTCCTTCAGGCGAAGAACGCAGAAAGACCACTTAGACAGCGATCAGACAAAAATTAGGGCCACTTATGAGGTATCCCGACCCCGACCCCTAACTATCGATTAGGAAGTCAATGTCAGGTTAGAGGTCACAGGTCAGGGTCATCCCCGATGGTTCTTTAGGCAAGGAACATATAAACCAATAAAAAACCACCAGAAGTAATCCGAGGCTACTGATATGCGGCAATCCGACCCTTGGCTCTCGATTAGGTAAAAGGACAATGCTAAGTTAGAGGTCACAGGTCAGGATCATCCCGATGGTCTTTTAGGCGAGGAACACATAGAGACCGCTTATAAAACGATCAGACAAAATGTAAAGCCCCTTATGCGGTACCCCAGCCCTTTAGGAAGTCAAGGTAAAGTTAGAGGTCACAGGCCAAGGTCAAACTCGTTGGTCCTTGATGCGAGAGACACATAGAGGCCACTTAGAAAACGATCAAAATTATGGTCACTTATGCGGTACTTGGACCTTTGACCTTCAAAAAACGACGAAATCGGAACTTTCCCAGCAACTCGCTGTCCAAACGAAAATATGCGTGAATGTGATTCAATTTTACGCGCGTGTCGAATATTCCCTGTTGAATTTTCTACACTCGAGCCAATGATGATAATGTCACCGTGGATAATGGTTCATTACAGGTCTTCAACAAAGAAATCCTTAAAATCCCGAATTTGGAATTTCTAGCTGAACTATGAATGAATATTTTAATCTTAGGTATGCCAAGGTGAATGGAATATACATATGTATTTGGTCTTTACCTCGAAGCTCTATCTCCAACAGGAACGAAATGGCGCGGGGAGGGATGGCAACCCCCCATGTGCGTTCTATCTATAGGATGGGAAAATGGCATGTGCGGGCGAGGGTTAAACTTCCGTATTTGGAATTTCTAGCTGAACTATGAATGAATGCTTTAATCTTACATATGCCTAGGTGAATGGAATTTATTTGAAATCCTTCTTCCTGCTTTATATAGCTATCGAATAATACCGAATGAAGCCCTTATCCCGCGCCGCCACCGTTTTTGGTACAACTACACTCTCATCTTTTCCGCAAATGTTGTGAAAATTTCAGACCCGGGTCGCCCAAGGTCAGGTTACCAGGTCACGTCAAGTGAAAGAAAACGTTCAAAGGCTCCCTGTAGCTACACCGACAGAACGATCGCTCTGGAACTTTCCGCGATTGATCTGGGTAACAGTATGTATAAAACGTGTAGCTCAGAATTTTAATATCTGTGACCTGGGGCAGGTCAATTTTGCGACATTATATAGTCAACGGGTTACAATTAAAATGCGCGCCTCTTCTGGACGAATGTCGTTCTAAACACTCTCAAACATCGCTTTATAGGTGATAATGACACTGAATCGGACAATGGCACCCGCGGCCCCTCTGTATGCCCCTGAGGTCATCTCAGGTCATGAAAGGCGACCAGCAGTTTTTCTACTTCAACCTTTGATAGATACGTGTTAGAACGGTAAAAACACCTCGGGTATGTTCAGCTCGACGATACGTATCGACTGATATGCAGAATGACCCTTTCCGCTCATGCAATTACCTCGACCTGTCAAATTTTCAAAGTTACCTTTCAAGGTCAGCCAATAAGTAGAATTCATTTGACGCATCTCGACGAGAGGAACACGATGCTGGCAAAATAAATGTCGTTACTTTCCTGAGCCCAATGCTATTGTCGAAAAATATTTTTCGCAAAACGGCTATTTTTTAGGGTGTTTGTCCTCTGGAGGCTAAACGGTTGAGTTGAGGTCAAATATGAGAAAATAGGTACTCAGAAAGGTCCGTGAAAGAGCTATCGAATGCGCTTTTCCGCGACAATGACAATGAGCTTTGTATTATACCGACATTATCCTTAGTGTTTACGGATATACATTTTCATGATACAATAGGCATCAATATATTTATGATGCAAATAGGTATTATTATTACCTTATGCCATCATGATACATAAAGCACACATACGTCAAAAACCGATGCGTAGGAGCACCGTCCCGGCACAGTACGAGTGGTAAACATACAAAATAAGACATCCCGTCACATTGTTGGAGCGGTTGAAGCGCGGCGCCGTTACAGACACTGCTGCACGATCGGCGGCGCCGCTCGCCGGCGGAGCGGGGCCGCCGTGAGCTGGTGGTGCCGCTGCTGGTGCTGGTGCAGGTAGTCCTCCATCATCCTCTCGAACCTGCTGATCTCCTGCAGCGCCGCCGGGCTGACCTGGGAGCGGAGCGGGGAGCCGGTCTCTGCGGGCCGCTCCTGCGGCGCCGGCTCCTCCCACTCCGAGACCGAGCGGCGCTGCCTCCTCCCCAGGTTACTGAAAACGACGGCAAACGCTATTGAAAACAACGGCGCAGGTTTACTGAAAACTACGGCTGGCAAGAAAGACACAGGCACAAACGTCAACGGATTTACTACCGCACAAACATATAATTTCAAATTTTCTAGTTTCTAGCATTTATTTATATTTACGTTTGGGAAGAAATCTACTGGTTAACTAATCGTCTAATTATCAGGGACTTTCATCCTTAAAATGCCAGGTCAACAGCCAAACAACTTTCTGACAACCCGCTTCTCTTCCCTACCGACGACGTCTTCCCGCACGACCCACACGTTTTCAATTTATACTCTGACTCACACCACAGGGGCGCCGTTCAGCTCTGACCTGATGAAGCGCAGCGGTGTCCTCCGACGCGTCAGAGACGGCGAGTGCAGTGAGCGTGGTCGGCGCAGCGTTACCGACTCCTCCCAGTCTCCGGAGGCACCCTCGCCGGCGCCGGTGGGGGTGGTGGCCGCGGAGCGGTGCCCGGCGGCCGCGTCCACCGCCAGGCTGGGGTCCACCACACCTAGAGAGGTGTGCGGGAGGGGAGGACAATGCGTCAGCGGGTGGTGCACAGAATCACCGGGACAGACGGTTTTCGAGAGTGATTTTTATATTTGCATAGGCACAGATAACAGTAGTACAGAAGATAATAGTACTACTGTTATCTGTGGCATAGGTATATTTTTTCGAGGGATAGAATATCTATGGCAACAACTATAAAAAAATAATCCTATGCAACGTATTCCTTTGAGTGACCACAAGGACCAGTTAATTGAATTACATCGCTAAGTGTAGCCATGTTACACGATTTACCCGTTTTCCGTACCGAGGTCCTGCATGGTCCTGAGCTGCTGGCGGCGCCGGCTGCGGATCTGGGTGACCGTGTCGCGCGCGCACAGCTCGCTCTGACGGATGTGTGACTCGAGTGACTGCAGGCGCTGCTCCAGCTCACGGCGTTCGTCCGTGCTGAGGTCGCACGTGGCCGCCTCACTCAGAGTCTTTCCTACGGGAGACTGGGCCTGCACGGCAGGGAGTCACGGGTGGGGATGGACCAATTAAGAAGTAAAGAGGACATATCAATTTGTGTTGTTTCAACTGAGGATTGGATATCTTTTTTGATTAGTTATCTTCGCCCGCATTATAGACGGAAGCGTATAATAAAATGACAGCTTTACCGAAGACGGTTATACGTCCCATCGACGATGCATGGCAGATACGAGCCAACAACGGAATAGGACAAACGGTCAGCTAAAATGGACATTACAACGGACTATGAATTCAGAAACACCAAATACCTACGTGCCCCGATAAGCGAGAAAAATCCATCCGTGTAGCTGTAGAAATAAAGTGATATTGGATATCATAACGCAATATTTTTAGCGGAGCTCACCTTGAGTGCGGCGGACATTTTTCTCTGTCGCAGCTGCACCTGCTGTCGGTAGGCCTCCATCTGCACCTGGCGTTCCTCTCGATCAGCGGCGTTCAGCACCTCAGCCGTCGTCATCGTCCAGCCCTGACGGCAAATAAGGAATCACGGCAGGTGAAGGCTGACGATTTCTGAATGGGACTGCCCACTGCCCACAGACATCTAGCTTCGGTATACAGAGGTCAAAGAGCCAAAGGCAGAGGTTAAAGGCATTTGATTACAAAGGTTTCGCTTCATAAAGCGGCTTAAATAATGACGCCTATCAGTCGCCAGTCGGGCATTTTATTGTCCGGCTTTGTGACATGAGTGACCCTACGTGAGAAGGTGAACGTTTGGCACATACCCCGCTGTTTTTGTGTCGCTGCTTGTTTTGCAGTAGCTCCTTGGTCTGGAGCACCTCCTCCAGCAGCTGCTGGCGGCTGGTGGCCGGCTGTGACGTCATCTCATCCTCCAGCTCCTCGGCTATCTCGAGGTTCAGGCCCTCCAGGCTGAGCCAGTGTGGTTCGGCCGACGTCCGCTGGGCGGCGCCCCAGTCGCGGCTCCGCAGCCCACCGAGACCGGTGGTGTCCGAGGCAGTCTGCCGGCAAAACGGATATCAGTCTGTGGTTGCCGTCCCGCATCCAGGCGTGGTCTGTGAGTTGGACATCGAAATGGTTCAAATTGATGTTCGACTTGAAATCATGCTCATTGCCCAATATTCAACGCTCATAATTTCTGAAGGATGGGAATCTGAAATCTCAATCGACCACAGTTTTCAGGCAAGCGTTCTAATGAGCCCACCTGACGTTCCCTACGTCTCTATGTACAGGACTATATAATGTGGCGAAGTTTGAATGAGGGGATTAACAAAATCTGAGCTCATGCTAAGCAGAGCATGTCGCTCTGACCTTCACCGCCCGATCGAGAAATTTCCGCTAGTGTCGGCAGGATTTAATTTAAAACCCAAAGTTTAACGTGACCACACAGCCGTCGCAGTCCACCATATTCACTGATGCGGCTGATCATCGCTGTCAATAGTTCCCAGTTCCCACCTACTTTTTACCATACACTGTGCTTTTTACCAAACGCCGAAGCGAATCGAACCGGGGCGCTTACTTCACTTTAAATTCGATGTTCCACCAACTGAGCTACGGCCTACGGGACCGAAAAATTAAACTTATTTGCTGTAAAACAAGCATACATATTACAAAACCCATTACCCCAACACGTAGGAATGATCAAGCGCTTCAAACGCAACTGGTCTGGCCGGGATACAATCGGAATACCTAAGTCACCAGCCTTTACTCTCCTACTAAAATTTCGAGGCTTACTCTGTTCCTTGCCGATGAGAACTCAGCCACGCTCGCGGTTCTCCTAAGACGTCCACCCCTGGAGAAGGGCCGGTGCCTCTTCATGAAACGGTCCAGCCGGGAAAACATCGTTGGTCTCTGACCTGACCTGAGTCAACCCTGAGGTAACGAACTGATCACACCCTCATCACGGTCACTTCACACCAGTGGGATCACGAGGATCCAGAACACTGCTCTGGGTCGAGTTTACGATTTGCTATGCAGCTGTCTACTGCCTATCAAAGCATTCGGTTCAACTTGCTGCACTTTTCAACACAAGCTCGCCCGGTGCCACCGACCACTCTGCCTCTTCTTTCAGCCTGCTGACAACTCCACTACTACTTCCTTGTCCCTATGCAACTGTGCAATGTGCAGCGAGTGCCACACTGCCTATCTACGAGTAGCACTGATTATCACGCCAGGCGGCAGTCGATCACACCTCAATAAAACACAGCTGAAACGCAATCTCAGACCAAAGTTGCGCGCACATGTGCGACAAAAACCTCCAATATTTTGGTCAGACCAGGCGCAACGCTCCTACATCCTCCCCTGTAGATAGCACCTCAGGCACTGATTAGAAGTCACTAGAGGACGAGCGATACGACGAGATGCCCTACTCGAGGGCACGTTATCAGCAACGAGGTCGGTCGCAATCATATCGACCGTAATCGTAGTCGGTAGTCCGTCCTAGCGCTGTATGCTACGGCGAGTAGCGCGGAGATTAGAGATGGGGGGGGGGGAGTGATAACGTATGTGGGGTGTGCACTGTGCAATGACTTTCATACTAAGCCATGCCACCGGAAGCGATTAGATTGCAGGTCGCCTGATTGTAAGTGCGGTGATTTTTTTTTATAAATTTAGTCCGAACGGCTGAATGGGTGGATTTGAGGAATCAGAGCCCGCACTAAGCATAGCTTGTTGTGCTGACCCTGATCCCACCACCCGATCGCGCAATTCCAGTTGTATGGCAGAATTTTGTCCGAACGTTTAACGTGCCCTAACGACTGGACACGGTCCTCTCCGCTCACTCACGTTACCTGGCTTCTGTGCGGCCCCTGCCACAGACACGCACGCCATTACACGTAGGAGCTAAATGTGGCCGCCCGCACCGGGGCTTGAACCGGGCTCTCACTTCCGGCTAAGCGTCAAACTCCGGCGCTTTTATCCACTCGGCCACGGAGAGGTAGGATTGATTAAACATCCGGGACATATTAATGAACAAATAAGCGTTGGTATCCACTAGCGTGTTTTCCGTGTTTTGACCGGGGCGAGTGTGAATTGTCTAATTGATCAACGTTCCACGAACGTTCAAGTAAATAAAATAAAAACAAACGTTTTTTTCTGTTAGCTGCACAGCAGAATACTTCTTACCTTACCTAGTCACTAGCTTGTCACTTACCTGTCAATCACCTGTCATTCGCCCGTCCACCTGTCACCCTCCAAGTCTGACTGCAGACTGACGAGAATAGACGGACGGACACGTCCAAACGACAGGACAATAGTTTACACGGCCGACTGACACGGACACGGACTACCGCAAACAGTGTACACCAAACACAGCGCGCGCCACTTCGGATGATTGGTCTCTCTCTCTCTCTCTCTCTCTCTCTCTCTCTCTCTCTCTCTCTCTCTCTCTCTCTCTCTCTCTCTCTCTCTCTCTCTCTCTCTCTCTCTCTCTCTCTCTCTCGCTCTCTCTCTCTCTCTCTCTCTCTCTCTCTCTCTCTCTCTCTCTCTCTCTCTCTCTCTCTCTCTCTCGCTATCTATCTACCATACATCTACCTTTGGCTTCGCAAGTGCCTATCTTTAAATATAGCCGATTTGAGAGGCAAATGCCTAGCGGTCACCTTTTCCTATAGGCCATTACCATCCACGACACCAAACACCCATAACCAGAGTACTTGGAAATCACGATAGTTCACGTCTACGCGTAGGTATATTCTAGTTCCAATCCAAGCTCTATGATACCTACGTTGCCGACGGCAATAGGAATTTCTGCAGGACTTTCTTCTCCCGCCTATCACTCTGTAGCAGTGTACGTTTTTTCTAACATGTGACAGCCAATGTGTCACAATGCATCTCGGCCGTCGGACGGGACCGCGGCGAGCCATAAGATAAGACCACTGACCTGGCGAAGCCACGGCGAATGGATGGCGACACATATGGTGCCACAGCCCGTCACAACTCCGCCAAAACCCCACTGGCACCTGGTGAGCGCAGATATAGGACAGCTGCAGGCCAGCAATTCGAATATGCAGGGGGAGATGAACAAGAACACACACTTGTCCGGAACAGATCAAGTTGAGTGTTCGTATCCTTAAAGGGACTGTCCCACCTTTAACATGGGGTTTGAGTTGAGATAGCCAAGTTTGCGGCGAGGTTCAGAAACCACTATCTATCTAGGTTGCAACCCCCGCGGCCTCTTGGTGTTGAAGAAATTCGTTCCCTTCATTTGAAAATGGGCCTTGTACAAGGCCCTATCTTCAACATGGAGCGACCGTTAGTGTGACGTCACCTCGTTTAGTCATTCTGATTTAAATGGGTTTGTTCGTTGAAAAATCGCTTAAAACTTGGTCTGAACTTTGTTGTGGTGCCTACAGAGTAAAAAGAATCAGCTTTATGACAGTAATGTGGCCTGGGGAAGGAGGTAATTTTGGGCTGTGACGTCACATATTTGAAAGTTTGTGTTTGGAATATACATGGGAAGCCTAAGATGTTTAATGAAAAATAAATGCCAGAACCGTGTTCCTGGTCATCCAATCTATAAAGTCGGGCACAATTTAACTGGTTTTAACAACATTTTAGAAGGTGGGATAGTCCCTTTAAATCGTTTATCAGAGGCTACAGATTTACGTATCGGCTGAAAATATGTATCGGTGTTACGTTCGGTGCGGCGCCTGACCATCGTTAACACCCATGTGTTTGTAAATTAGGTACCATGTTTATCAACTAACGGTCGGGAGGGCCGGGCGGCCTCTCAAAACACGGCCTGTGAAGGCACAACGCGCTCGAATACAAGGGCACACTGTTGGTGGTCATTAGCACGAAATGAATGGTGACCTATAGGTGAATGCTGTTTAGCGACATCGCTAAGCAACATCTGCTGCGTTGGTTCCATGAGAAGCCTTACGTTTTAAGCGCCGGTTTTTAGGTGGTTACCGCCTGAAAAATTATGTGCATACTTCATACTCCTGGTGCTGATTATGTTCAGTGAACCTACCAGGCAGTTAGAAGAGGGCTGTATCTGTTTCCTACTGAACTGGGTGTGGATCCACATCCAGTATGTTTTACTGACCTGACTGAGGGGCCGTACCTTGAGTCTCGGCCGACCCTTTCCTCTGAGCAGACCGCCGCTGGTCTCCATGGTGAGGGAGTCTGCCCGCTTGTGCACCCAGCGGAGCCAGCCTGTCTCTCGGGCCCAGCTGGAGCGGCTGAGAACGGAGGGAGAGGGACACCGTCACTGGTGGATGGGGACGGGAGGAGACACCGTCACCAGCCCGTCTCCCGGGTCCAGCTGGAGCAGCTGAGAATGGAAGTGGACACGGTTAACGGTGATGACAGAAAACTGTCGCAGCACCTGCTCACAGCTGGGGACACAAGCGGACACTATTTCATCGCTCCGGGGTCTGGAGACGGACCGATAGTTGTCTCCAGCCGCTAGTGACCGTCGCGTCGGTCTTCGCTCGTCCTTCGCCACTGACGAGTGACCTTCTCAGTGACCTTTTCAGTGAAGAAATGGTTACTTTAGTGGCAAGAGACGAGCTAAGACACGTTGCAACACAGCGCTAGAAAGGTCTGCCCGCCGCCGTCTCTGCACTCACACGCAGGTTGAATGGGCCAATGGGCCTGCTGCACTGCTACGGAACCACAGACTGCGGCGTCTGGCAAACACTATACGGTGTACTTTGTGTGGCTATCGGCGCGAACTGCCTGCTGTTTGTGTTTGACGTTAGCTTTTGTTATCGTGACGGATTAACAGACCCAAGGATATATCCGGAGCACAGTGCGCAGGTCTCTAAGGAATTTCACGGACGGGGTCTGAATGGTTTATTTCATGGAAACACGCATTGATCAGCGGTATAAGTTAGCGTAACTAACGGAGCCATACACACTATGCAATAAACGATGAAAGCAAACGATATAGCGTGGGATCTATAGGTACCGGAAAATTATAGGTTCTGGCGATGCATTCAAGGGGGACGAGGCAATTAAACGTGGGGAAAAGGAACCGCTGAATCGCATAGGATAGAACCATGAAAGCCTGTAGTTATTCATTGAATACCATATTGACACATGATAGGGATTGAGTAACTTAATTATTTCTTCACTCTGATGGAGAGCCTGCCTGAAAAAATATAAAAACATTGGACATTCCTGTCCAACCATGTCGTACCGTCACGTATTTCCTGCTCTCTGTTCTCTGTCAACCTATGCTGTCAACGATCTGCCAAAGGCTATTTAACTCCGATCTGCCCCACTCCGCGTCACCGTCCCGTACTCACTCTCCCTCCTCCCCCCCTACACACCCAAGAGCAGTCTCCGTCTCCGATGTCAGTCACGTGATCGTCTGTTGTCTCGGGGCTCACAACGCCTGGGGAATTCGAGATTCAGTCAAATGCTGTACTGGGAAGGAGTGGACGTGGCAGACAGTGGTGCGTGCGGTCGCGCTTCAAAAATGTCATTTATTTGTTACAGTGTGAAGGTGAAGTATGAGGCCAAGTGAAGTGGTGGCTGGTGAACCACAACAACAAGAAAGCCTTTTCCAATGTCTACCAATATCTGGCTTTCATGCTGGTGAGTATACAGTACTGCCAATTTTGTGGGACGATTTTTATTTGGCCGGTGTGTTACCCATGAGCCCTTTCGGTTAATTGAGACCTTTTTAGGTGCATGCTATAATGCAGGATAAGAGGATATATTAGGGAGAGTCAACCACAAAGTAATCCGCCACCGAACGCCGCGGCAGCTCAGCCTACCCGGGCTGTCTGTTGGAATGGGAGTGGCCCCGGGGGAGGCCACACTCCACAGAGCCGCTCAAACGGTCAGTCATGGTCACCACGAAGGGGACAAGACAAAAAAAAATGAGTGAAGTAGCAATAGTAGCATCTTCTTTCATTTTGCGAATTTTCCAACCTGGCGTAGCTTGACGAGATGCAACAATTAAGTCGGCCTCAAAATGCTAAGGCTGCGTTTCTTATCGGAGAAATTCTTGCTGTTTATGAGTAATAGCCCAAAACAATTATTTTTACATTGCTGCCCGTCCTTATCCTTGTGACCTAGTTATTTTGTCAGCGAGTCTCTCTCGGTCGATTGTGACGTCACGCCACGAAGGTCACAGGAAGTCATGGGTTCCCATAGCTCACTCACTTACACGCTACCCGCGCCGTCGACGGTCAGTCGCTCGGTTCTCACAGCTCTCTCACCACCTCTGTCCGCTGTAAATTGTTCGGCTCTCACCGCCTGTTCACTTGCGCTAGTCGAGCTATATGACGGGTAGGCCCGATCCCACATCCCTCTTTTGCTATACCAAACGTCCAACCTTGCTCACAATCCCCACGGTGAGTCCCCGGATCTCACCACCTTCTCATAAAGACTGTCCACACTCAACAATGAATCGCCCCATTCTCACCACCCTCTCACCTGCGCTGTCCATCGTCCACGGTGAGTCGATTGGTGAGCGCCACCATGAGCACAGGATCGCGCTCTATGAGACTGGTGCAGATGGATCCGGCTCGACCCCGCGCTGGGTCAGGTGGCGGAGGTCGCACCAGGTCACTGGTCGAACACGAGGCCAGTCGATGACCTTTGGAGGATCGACGCATCGCTCCGAAAGATGGCGGCTGTGGAAAAATGACATGTGTGGTTTCGGAAACATCTGGGACGTGACAGCTGAAAGTAATTCACTCGTGCTTTGTTGTACAGGTCTCGCGGGTTTTAGCGGCAGGTTTTGCACCTATGAAATTTAGTATACTTCAGGCTATATCTTGGTCGTCTTAAGCTTTTGGTTGTTGAAGATGCAATAGACTTGTTCGTTCACAAGCCTGCCATGATCGTTTAAAATGGCTTCATCGTTGATCGATTAGTTTCTGAGATATAACCGGAAATGTAAAAGGGGAAAACCTACCGCTTAATCTGGCGAGAGCCGTACAATCTGAGATTATTTTACGTGTCTTTTTTACTCGTATTTAGAAAAGGATGATGAAGTGCATAACACATACAGTGTACACATAATTGTCAAGAAGCGCAAGTCGTTCACCGTGGTGAAAAATCATCGAAGTCGCTATAGGATATACAGAGCTATTTAAAAACAGGAACTTTCCAACTTACATTCTACCCTTACTTTTCTAGTCTGGAATCTGGATTGTGGCTCAGCGATTCACCGAATGAATTTATATGCAACAGCCTCTACCGTACGTGTCAGCTACTTGATTATTTGACAGACCTAGCTGCTATAAGATCAATTAATCATCTTTTAATAGATGCTTGTGCGACGTTAGAATGCGCAGTGAATTGCTTGATCAGAGGCACATTTTTTACGTCATCAAGCACAACTGGTTTTGCATCGAATCACTCCTTTTACTAAAACATCGGGTATTGTGGCCGCTACCAAAAGGCTCTGATACAATCAATACCTGTTTTGTCAATTATTTTGCCGTGTAAGGAACACTTTTTAGTGTTAACTGTTGCACCCAGCGAGGTTCGCACGCCTGCCGGCGCTAATGAATGCATGCCTATGTGTTGCAGTCGATAAAAAACCAACACGACTGGTAAGGTGGTAGCCATTCAGCCGGCTACCTGAGGCTACCGTACTAGCTACCGTACAATCACATTTTGCCTTTCCTACACAGAGGGGCTTGCGCACTTTTTACCGCGCCCACTGGGGTCTGCGTATAACACGCCCTACTGGGGGGGGGGGCTATTCATAGCCCCCCTCCTAACTCCGAAACTACTGAGCCGATCGTCAAAATTCAAACGGCGTCTGATAGCCCCGAAAAAACTGTCGAGCGAAACCTAATTTCATTGACCTTGAGGTCACCGATGACGTCACAGGTCAGGTCAAAGTAAAAATTATTAGCATTTTGGCTTGTTCACGTTTTGGGCTCTGGCCGCCGTCTTACATGTCAGATCAGGCTCATTTTTGGTTCACACACTCGTGAACAGATGCTCTAGATACCCTGAGGGTACCAAACTTGTACTTTGATTTTCAGGTCAAGGTCAGGTCATCACAGGTCACGAAAATATTATATCATGCGTTGGTCACGTGACACATGTTTTATGGTCCATTTAGGCCAAAAATTTTGAATTTGATGTCGTCTGTGTCATTCGAGGTCATTTTGAGTCGAATTTAGCCTAGGTCAGGTCACTTTCAGGTCAAAAAAGGTCAAATTTTGAAGTTATAATTTTTCAACAGAAAAGGTGTCTATTGGATGCAGTTTGAGCTCAGGAACACGATGGTGCTATTTATATTGGCGTACAATGTCAAATACGTGGTGATAAATTGATTTGAAAAATTAATAATTGTGAATTTTTTGCAATAATGCGTATAACTTCGCCATTTTTTAAGATATTTAGCTAAAACTTGCTAGAGTTAGCCATAATAACGCGTTCTATCACATATATTCCGTTTTTTTTTCGAAAAGTCAAAAACTTTTTGAAAAAAATGTAAAACTGTAAATTTGGAATTTTATCATAAATATTTTTTCGAAATTTTCAAAATTTCGAAAATCCGAGATAGCAGGTTGATAGCGCAGTCTATTCTGAGTCATCTCATGCAAATAAATTGGATATAGCTTAAAAACTGAGCCCTTGGGAGCGATTGCCGTGGTTCAATGTTTTGCGTCGAAATCGGCCGAACATGACGTCACTCTGACGTCATTTCCGGCCGACCTATGGTAGCTACGAAGTTCAAATTTTGACACAAGGTGTCAAATTAATGTAGCCGAAGGTAATGAAAGTTTGGCGTCTATACGTCAAGCGGTTTGGAAGTTATTGCAGAAAAACGGGAGGGGGCTATAAATAGCCCCCCCCCCCAGTGGGGCGCGGGTTAACAATTTGTCTATACGGCTTATTATCTTTTTATCTAAATTTAATATTTAAGTTCAAGTATCTGTTTTACGTAAAAGCTGCATGTTCCTAATGACTGGCCCTGATGGTAATTTAGGGTAAAACTACTCGTATACATACCTATTATTTTTAATGTTCATGGAAGCCAACAACGAAAAAGGTGATGCGGGGTATTGATCAAACCGTGGTTTTAGCGTGTGCAGTGTTTTGCCGATGCACAGGCACTTCGACATCAGAGGTTTTACGAAGCGACTTCTATGTCATGCTAACCGAACGATTATTTCGAGCTCCGTTAAATTAATGATGGAGCCTCGTTTACCAGACGCTTAGTTCAACATCTCATGCGGAAAAACGGCTCATTTAACGTTTCACTTCCCCGGATTAGCAAACGATGAATAAATAAATAAGCTGAAATATCTTCCTTGAGAGTACAAAACAATTTTGTAGATAACCTACATCCCAAGCCCCGAACAAGTATCTAATTGATATCAAATAGTTAGATTAGATATAAGAATCGAACTATCCAATCAATTTCACTTCTTTTCACCGAACCAATGAAAGATTTACTTACCTTGCTTGCTTTACTGTACTTGTCCCTTTCTCTTGCCTGAAACGCCTTCCTCTTCTTTTCACTTTTCACTCGAATCACGCCACAACACCGAATGCTCTCCTCTCCTCTGTCCACATTACTGTCCACTGCTCTCACTCCCCCCGGTCCCCCGTCCACCACGCCGTCCACTCAGCTTCTACTCTGCCTCGCTCGGCTGCTCGGCTCCGTCTGGTCGTCCCGATAGGCCCGGTGGTCACGGACTGCGTCAGGACCGTGTGTCCGACCTCGGCGGCCGTGCTGGGCTGACCTCGATCCCACCACCGGTGACCATGTCGACCCTAATGGTCCGCTCGAACGCTACCGGAACGCCGACGGCGGCGGGGGCGGCGGAGGGAGCTCGGTAATGTTCTGCGCAGAAACGGTGATCAGAATAGATGCGTCATTAGAGACATCTGATACTGAAGTCGAAAGATCCAAAGGAAGAACAGAACTCGCAGGGGTAGTTATTAATTGGTACCTACACATAATGATCGGAGGCGGGAGTAGGATTTCCACTCATTAACGTAATTACTCAGCATTATGTAGTATCCCAAGGCCAGGAAAATGTAACGGATAATTTCATGATTCCTGCGACATGATTCCTGGATAAAACCTTTGCCAAAGGTCAGGTCAGTACCTTTTGGACACAAGAACAGCAGCGACAAGCATTGTCTGGGACCTTCCATAGATTCATCCTGATTAGAGCTTGTACAAGCCTTGTGTGCATATGGGTTCCTACGTAAGATTCAAGGGCGGATCCAGCCGGCCGTCTTGGGGGGGGGGAGGGGGCAACCGGTTGGGACTAGCCAAACCTAGGGTACCCCCAAATCTAGTTTTCTCACCGGTTTTAGGCCACTTATTTTTCACCCTTCGCCTTTTCATCGAAAAAAAAAACGAAACGAAATTATTTGCAAAAAGTGAGATATTTTGTCTCAGCTGAGTCAAGGAACTACCTTTTTGGTAGCGTAGAATAAAGGCTTAAATCTTCCACATGAGCTGTCAAGCCAGGTAAAGAGGGGGATTTCTTTTTCTTAAATGCTTTCTTCCCTTTAGTTTTCCTTTGTGACCCACAACCGCTAATTCAGGGAGGGCAAGCTGCCCCGATGGTTCCTAGCCCTATGAAAAGTTGTGGGGCAGCGCCCCCACGGCCCCAGAGTTGTGCCCACTGACCCCCAGCTCCCGCGCCCATGACCACAAAGTTCAGGCCCATGGCCCGGCGTCGAGCTGAAATTCAGACTCGGCAATGTTGATGGTGTGTCCGAGTTCAGACAAGCTGAGCTTATGCTGGGTTCAGCTAGGACGATTGAAGAGGTATCCTGTTGGGCTAAATGCCGGACAATCTCAAGCTCTATTTTGCATTTAATGCTTAATTATCCTACTATGTTGAGTGAAAACTACCCATGTGTCATTAAGTATAACTTCAAATAGTGGGTTTAGTTAGTGACATATGGTGGAGCATTAGGGGTTTTGGGGGTGCACATGCACCCCCTTACTGAATATAGCACCTTCTCAAAATGACGCTTGAAACACTTCAAAAACAAGTACTGGTAAGGGGAAATTGTGTTTTCCTCTGTTAACCCTCGCCCGTATAGGGGGAGCGGTCGAACAGACCCCACCCCCTTCGGTTTTTCGCGAATAACTCGCGTAAAAACGGCTAATCGCGACGAAACCTTCAGTGCCCTCGAGTTAATCAGTTTTGCATCTACCCTAAAACTTTAACTACGCTGACCCAAGTGACCTTTGACCTGTGACCTATTTCTCGAGACCATGTTTGGCCGGGATCGCGATTCGGCGTATGTTGGCTCGCATTAGCCGCGCGTTTGCAGTCTTTTCGTGGTTTCAAGCGTTCAAACATGTGATATGATGTTGGTCCCATGCATTTGGATGGGTGTGAAGGTCACCTGAAGGTCAGGTCAGGTCATTGATCTTTGATGACCTCAGTTCACTTTTTCGAGTTTTACATGTTTCTAGGCTAGTTTTTGGAGCTGAACTCGAATTCAGCAACCATTTGAACATTTACGAAGTACTTTTGGTGCCTTTGTTACATGTTACGAAGCTGTCAGAGCCGGTTGACACGTACTACGAATACCCGGCAGGACCACTACTGGTTGACCTGACCCGACCTGGCCTAAATGCATGAAGACATCTTCTGGGATCAACACTAACACGATATTCGTGATCAGCACCCCGAAAAAGCTCAGCCACACTTACGACGCTCTAACAGGTCCCAATTTTCCCAACTTTTGGGTCATTGACCTGACCTGGAAGGTCAACCATGAACCAATGACCTAGGACCTGAAATTGGGTATCATCGTCTTCCTCTCGTCTCGGGCAGCACCCTCTTTTTTTCGCGAAGCTCTAGCTCGATCAGCGGCCAAACGGCAATGGGGGCGACGGCCCCCCCCCCCCCCCTATATATTCGCGGCTGACAAAACGCCAATACGGGCGAGGTTTAAATCCATATACATTCAGGCATGAGACAAGAAAGCTCCTGGTTAATAGTGTAAATGAACTATGAAGAAGCTTCAGCTATTAAGAAGCTTCTGAAATCTCTCAAGCTGAAGTTGATTATACTCAGTGTTGTTATGATCATTCCTCAGTTTTCTGACAAGAATCACACATTTGGCCATGGCAAACGTTGAAAATACCTTTTTCTTTAAAAACAGTGCCTTATGACAATCTTATTTTCCAACAAATTTGCAATTAAAACCAACCAGAACACAATACACAACACGTGCCTATGAATGCGAATAACAATGTGATATCATGTCGATTTCTCCTACATGTTAACCCTCGCCGGCACAGGCCATTTTGACTCTGGTTGGCTGAGTTTTTCACGTTTGCCCCAAGGTCACTCAATCATCAAAGGAATATTTCAGTTTTTCAGCATAGGAACTATGAGAATGTTTATTTTTTAGTTTTCTTGACATGTCTTGGGGGGGGGGCAAAAGATAGTATGGCCCCCCTTTGACCGTCTTGGGGGGGGGGGGGCATGGCCCCGTTGGCCCCCCCTTGGATCCGCCCTTGGTAAGATTACAGGGGTTAGGGCTCTGAGCCTTTCCCCAGACACGGGTCCGTTCATGGGGTGACACTGACTACCGGTGTTGTTTGGAACCCTCGGTCTAATGGCGCTCTATAGATGACGCCACCGCTATGTATGCAGGTGCATCATGTTCGTTCCTTCATAGACCGTAGACGGGCATGTCCTGATGTCCAATTGATTATGCTTCCATGTCCTTGAAATGTCATGTTACCTACCTTACAATTGTCGGGGTATTTCACCACTCACCACGTGCAGGGGGCATTGGCAACTCCCTACAATTCATCATTTTATTTGAGCATTTTATTCATATTAATAGGAAGAAGGGTGCATGCCTTTTTTACTTCCTACCTACAAAACATGGACATGCTTGAAACAGGTGTGCAAATGCTGGCACACCTGCGGTTCACCGTTAAAGATGTATATCGGGACGACCCACAAATTAAGCGCAACTCGATGAGATTATACTACTAAGTGACAGCTAATATGATTAGGTAGTGGCAACTGGCAACTGGCATCTAAAAATATTTGTATCTATTATTATAATAAGGATAACAATAATTCGTAATATCAATATTATTGATGTTAAAGAGACTATCCCACCTTCTAAAATGTTGTTAAAACCAGTTAAATTGTGCCCGACTTTATGATAGATTGGATGACCAGGAACACGGTTCTGGCATTTATTTTTCATTAAACATCTTAGGCTTCCCATATTCCAAACACAAACTTTCAAATATGTGACGTCACAGCCCAAAATTACCTCCTTCCCCAGGCCACATTACTGCAATAAAGCTGATTCTGTTTACTTTGTAGGCACCACAACAAAGTTCAGACCAAGTTTTAAGCGATTTTTCAACGAACAAACCCATTTAAATCAGAATGACTAAACGAGGTGACGTCACACTAACGGTCGCTCCATGTTGAAGATAGGGCCTTGCACAAGGCCCATTTTCAAATGAAGGGAACGAATTTCTTCAACACCAAGAGGCCGCGGGGGTTGCAACCTAGATAGATAGTGGTTTCTGAACCTCGCCGCAAACTTGGCTATCTCAACTCAAACCCCATGTTAAAGGTGGGATAGTCCCTTTAACCATAATTATTTGATTTTGAAGAAACCCGAAAACCCAAAAACTCGCAACCCGCATGCGAGGTCCAGTGTGGGGCGGCATACCTATTCTTATTTTAACGTCAATGCCAATAACTAAAACGGTTAGGTACAGGGAGCGGCTCTTTTGAAATTGCCCTATGCCAGTTACTTGGGTGGTGACTGGTGGGACAGTGAGCTTAACCCGCGCCCTGGTGGGGGGGGGGGGCTATTTTTTGCCCCCCCTCCAGACTTTTCGATATATCTCCAGAACCGCTGCGCCGATCGTCACCAAACTTTCAGTACCCTCCCGGACATCAATTTTACACATTGTGACCAAAAATTTTTCCAAAGGCTATGATAGGTTGGCCGGAAATGACGTCAGAGTGACGTCATGTTCTGCCGTTTTCGACCCAAAAAAGGGTTTCGCGGGAAGAGCTGTCAGGCCTATAGCTTTGCAAATACAGAAAAACGATTAAGACATAAAAGCTGTAGAATTGACAGGGCTACAAAACTGCTATCTCGGATTTTTAAAATTTTTGGATTTTGACCCCCAAAAATCAAAATATAGATTTTTTGATTATAATAGCCGAAAAATCCAAAAAGTTTTTTGAATTTCGAAAAAACCGGAATATATGTGATAGTCCTTACCGCCTTCTATCTGCATACCAAATTTGAGATCGATACCTCTTTTTTTGGCCAAGTTACAGCGAAAAAACTGTTCAAAATTGATGACGTCAAATTTTCAAACTCAATTTTTTGCAATTCTAGACCTCGTAGCGCAAAACAAAGACCACCATTAGACTCCCCGTGACGAGCTGCATCGAATCAATACCCATTTTATGCAAAAATATCAACTTTGAAATTTGACCTTTTTTGACCTGACCTTGACCTGACCTCCACCAGAAAGTGACCTAAGCCGTACCTGATAGTCTTATAAGCAACACCATTGAGTTGGAAATGAAAAATTGGCCATAAAACATGCATCACACAACCTTAGTAAAGTTGGGCTCATGTGACCTGACCTGTGACCCTTGGTGACCTGACCTGTGACCTGACCTGGTAATGTCAGTGACCTCTTATAGCAATATATGTACTAGGCAACTGACGCCCTATCGCTGATTCTCGACAAAATGCGTTTTCTTCGATGTTATAGCGCATTCCCTAGATGACCCGTGAACGGTGAAACATTTCATCTTTGACCTGACCTGTGACGTCATCGGTGACCCCGAGGTCAATGAAATTTGGTTTCCCTCGACAAATTTGACAGGCCTTTCGAACGCCGTTTGAATTTTGCGGATCCGTCCAGTAGTTTCGGAGATACGAGGGGGGGCAAAAAATAGCCCCCCCCCCCACCAGGTCGCGTTATAAACAGACCCCACCAGGGCGCGGGTTAAACAGGGGATGCGTAATCTATGAAAAAAGGTGGGGATAGGCTGGTCTTGAGGACGATGATACCTAGCATTAGACGGTCAGAGCTGCCTGGTTCCACTGAGACGGTCAGATGACGAGAGGGGGAGAATCGGGGAGACGCCGGCTAGTGACGGCTACCGATACCTACCGACCTTGGTGATGGCAGTCGATCGAACTTGAAGACGCGTAGAAGTTGAAGAAACTGGTAGATATTGGCGAGGGCGGCATTTCATTCACAATTATATAAAAATAGCACACATGGACAACGTAAAAAAGTTTGTGCATCTGTCGGCTCGCCACTGCCTGCCCGCCGAAGCCGTGGCTATTGCAGCCGTTTCCGTCATGGCACCGCCTGCAGCAGCCGGCTGCTCCTCTCCCTCTCTCCCCTCTCTCCTGTGACGGCGGTACACCACCGTATCTGTCCTGGCAGAGGACCAACAAACATCGCATCTCTGACGGCCACACCATTAGCCGGCGAATGTATGCACCTCAGCGCGGGCTGCCTGCAACGGCGCCCCGCTGGTTCGCCGTCCGGCCGCCAGGTGGCAGGAGCGTCGGAACCGGTTGCGGTCGACACCGCTGGTCTCCGCCTGGCCGGCCGGCGATTGTATCATTCAGTCTGCCTTTTAAATTCGCCAACAGCGTCCGTGGCGTCGGCGCGCGTGAGAGCATGTGTCGCGGCTGAGTCTGAGTGTGTCTGGAGGGTCTCCGAGTGTCCGGGAGTGCCCAGGAGTGCCCAGGAGTGTCCGGGTGAGTGTCAGCTGAGCGGGCCAGGCCTGTCCGTGCCCGTTCTGGCAGAGATGCACCGCTGACCCGGCGCCGGCGGCCGATCCAGGTCACTGAGCCGGCCGGCGACACGACAGAGGGGTGGGCGGGTGGCCACTATGCAATGTCACCTGTCATATGTCCACTGTCACCCGTCTATCAGCTTTTCACTGTCCACTGTCACCTGTCACCTGTCAACTTTTCAGTGTCCACTGTTTACTTCCACTGTCGCACTGTCATTTTGATGACCATTCGCTCAATGTCGAGATCTACCTACTTAACCACTCAATAGGTATGCGCCATTATTGCTTCAATATCGTGAAATGTTGAATATGCATTGCCCACTATGAACTGGGCGATAAGTAGGTACCTAAACAAGTTAACACTAAGCGAACATCCGCTGCCCAGCATCCATTGTTCATTGGTCCTTTTCCGTTTTCCATACGTAGACAGGCCACGTGAGAGTCTATTATCGCTGTCTTATGTTCGCTGTTCCATATCAGCTGTTCATGTTCACTTTGTGCTGTTCACCGACCGACGTCCACCGTCCACTGGCCGCCGCGCGGCGTCCGCTAACCACTGTTTACCGTCACGACTGCGCTCGGAACAGATGTGGCTGCCACAGCTGAGGGGATGAGGAGGGGGGATAGAAGATGGCCCAGGGAGTGGCTCCAGCCGTCCGCAGTTCCTGAGCGGACGGGCTTTCCGCGCCTCATGCCTGCACACTGCACACTGCACAGTAATACTCGGCTTCAGTCACACGTCACCGCATGGCATTTCCGTCAGCGTATTACCATTCCAACGGTCTGACCAGTTCCCCGATAACAATAACAGTGGCCTTGTGCCAACTGAACTTGGTAAATATCGATTGATAGCTAGTTATGCGCGTGACTTTGAATTAGATTAACATTTATTTAACTGTAAACGAATAGCTAGAAGGGGTGAATAAATTGAACAGGTCTTGTTCCAAAAATTTGTTCACGCTCTTCTTATTCTCTACCGATGCTGGTTCAGCGCTGTAGGCATACAATGTGGGCATAGTCGGTAGCCATATTAGGACAGTACTGATGGATAGATAACCGTAGGCGTTGTGGCGACCGACCTTTTTATGGAAAGGAGCACATTACACATTCACTTGTAACAAGTTGTGCCTAAATGGGGAAGAATCTGGCCAAATCAAACCATGAGATCAATTAAGCGGCGTCTTGTTTGGCTTTGTAAGGCGCGCTCTGATGGGGCGACGAACATGGATTGCCTTGTTCGGAACGAAGTGTTTGCCACGTCGAAACCTCGTGATAGCTAGCCTCGGACTTTTATACTAAAAGGTGGTAGGTACTGCAGGTAAATCTGTTTGTTCTCCGCCCCGATATATCTAATCCCAGCTGCCGACATGAAATACGTGTACCTGAACTATGATATGATTATCTATTTATAGATCTATTTATGATAAAAACCTCACAAAGCATGCGTTCGCTGAAAAATGCTCAAGATACTGGCTGCTCCCAATTGGCTGCCTATTGAGCCCCTTGCAGCTACACACAAAGATACTTTTCTGCACACCTATAAGAGTGTCATCGCGTCAGGCGGAGAGGGACAGGTGGCCCGCCTTCTCGTACAGCTTTGACGACACCACGACACCTGGTAAACAAATGCCATCCTCTGTGGAACCCAGTGTCAGTGACGGTGATGGACGAGATAGGACGGGCGGCCAACACCGGTCATGAGTTCTAGGGATGCCGCCGTCCGGGGGATCAGTGTTCACCGTCCACCGCCAGGCTTACAGTGTCCACCATCCATGGTCCACCGTCCACCGTCCACCGTCTATAGTCCACCGACCACCGTCTATCGTCCACCGTCCACCATCAGGCTTCCAGTGTCCACCACCTAGGGTCATTCCACCGTCCACCGTCTGCTCGGGGCTTGTCATTGGAATACGGAACACTTTATGAGACTGTCCTATAGGACAGTCTAATTAGAGTGCAGTGCCTGCCTTTTGTGTATACTGTTCGTCGGGTGCAGTATTGACGTGGACACGCATATACCGAAGTGATTTACAACCACAGGAAGAATAGCTAGAAATTGCCTTCTGATGTTGTGTCATTTGGTTGGTATTATCGGCGGCTTTTCATTTCAACTGCAAGGTGTTTTGAATATATGTATGTAGCTGTAAAGCTGACCTCTGTGCGCTGTTTCAGGACGGCATGTTCGAGCACTCGTCTCCGGCCGAGGGGCCCGGCCCCCTGGCCACCTCCACCCTGGGGGAGACAGTGCACGGCTACCGGTCAGCCATCAGCGCCCAGCACGCCAGGCGGCGCATGCGTGAGTGTGCAACGGAACCGCTTATCTGTGTATCCGCTATCCGCTATCCGCTATTGCAGTCATGTGCCGCTGAAAGACAGCCAAAGCAGTTTCATGATATAAAACACACAATATGCACAAGAATGACAAACAGGCTAGGTATACTTGCGGCTAGATCATATTAGGATATTGCCGCTCCATGACGACAATTTTGTACCGATGTAGGTACACTTCTGCCGGTGCCTTTAGATATTTTTTGTCTGATCGATCACTGGCCACAGCAAATGCTCATTGGTCATGTATCTGGCTTCTTGCGCTGCACGCTGGTGGCAGATCGTATCGCGACGGCACGTATCGAGGCGGCCGCTTGTCCCCACACACAGAAAAATATTAACACCGTTAGCGGTGTAATTGCACAGTACATATCTGAGCACTTGAGGAAAGTTAATTTAGTCCCTTCCCCGCTTAAATTACTCGCGCTTCCAAATGAACACCAGGAAGAAGGTAATAGAACACTGTTAGGAGGGTTGGGTGTTTTGCTACTAGCAAAACACCCAACCCTCCTAACAGTGTTCTATTACCTTCTTCCTGGTGTTCATTTGGAAGCGCGAGTAATTTAAGCGGGGAAGGGACTAAATTAACTTTCCTCAAGTGCTCAGATATGTACTGTGCAATTACACCGCTAACGGTGTCAATATTTTTCTGTGTGCAGTTCCGGCTCCAAAAGTGGCATGATCGGGCGTGTCAGCTCGTGGCCTGACGCCTGCTCCCGGGCGCCAGTCGATCCGATCAATCAGCTGATAATCAGCTGACACTCAGCTGTTGGGGGCCGAGCCGGTTCGCAGCCGCTCGGTGCATTCAATACGAACAAGTGTGTCGGAGATCTGCATCATCACCTCACGATCCGGCACCGCAGTGCCACTAAATACGGTCATGCTGCGTCCCGAACAACAGTTCTAGCATTCGGAAATAACTTCTGCCCGAATGGGTGAGATGGACGTGCTAAAATTAGCACTGCATATGATGTTAGCGTAAACTATTGTGTGCGTAATGGAGCTTCGTGGGAAGCACAACGAAAAGGCTCAAGTGGCTCCTTCACTGCATTGAATGTTTGCAAGTCTGCAACACTTTTAACAGCGCTTAGTGCGGGATGTGCTCACATAAGAACTTCTGTCTCATGTCTGATTCCTCTGCATGTAAGTGAATGATGCGACTCGAACCATAACTCGAACAAGGACCTAGTCCGGCAGGCCTTTCCATTTCCCACTCTAATCATATTCATTGCCTCCAAAACCAACCGAGACCAACGACAAAGGCAGTGGTGCGAGTGTGCGCGCCATGTGGACCTAACGTCCCAGTGAGAGTGCTATAAAGCTAATTAGCACCGCAGTTGAGAGGCGAAGGCAAGGCTCGTTAGCATCTAAACGGGAGCCGGATGTCTGCCCTTGAGGCGGGTCACAGTTGGGGGCGCACGGGCGCACAGTTTCAGCGCGTATGCATTGCAATAAACCGACGTGGTACCGGCGGGGCTTGAAGCGCTCCCAATGCCAGCAGCTCAGGAACGCTTTGTTCCAGGAATGTATTGTGTCCTTGACTCCTTCCGCGTTTCTTTGACACTGCATGACTTTCGAGACCATTTTTGCGTCACCTGACCATTTGCGTGGGACCATGCTGCCTCACTGCAGCCATTATTGACGAACCGTCCATGATCTGGACGTTATATTGGGCCACTGCTATCGGGCCGTATGTCCTGCGTCGTTTCACTCCCTCTGCTGGACCGTACTGCCGGACCGTTTGGACTATTGGACCGTTTGGTCCGGACCGTGTTGCGTCATTAGGCGATGCCTCCAGTAGCCATCGGGCAGTAACTTCGGTGCAGTGATTGAAAGTCGCATTCATTGCGCCATGGAGCCACTATGGGGATTGCGTCAAAAGGCCATTATGCTCCCTTCGCCACTTTGATGGGCATATAACATACATTAGACGCGGCACTATCAGAAAAAGTCACATTAGTGGCTTATTTATGTCTCATTATACTGCTGCCAGGAGTGGCACTATCACATGACCCTGCATACCAGTCCACACCCTAGGGTAGTTCGAGCAGTGCGATGCCTGAAACAATGAGACATGCTCCTTGACCTGCTCTAGGTCAGTTAATGCTTCGTTTGCTTCATTCCGTGTCCGATGTCCGTTCGCATTCTATATCAAAATATCCATGGCTACTTTCAAGAGCCTACATAGCCATGTGTCATGTGTGTCATTTGTGTCACCTGTGTAGGCGCTGGATTATGACACAACCACTCGGCTGACACAGTGAGTAGAAGTGACGGCACCCCAGGGAGACCCGCGCCTACCGGTGTTGTTCTCTGCAGCGCGACCTTCCGAGGGACGGCCGCAGCCTTGGCTAATCAGCCGGCCAGAAGCTGGTTGTTTTTACAGCGCCGCCCGGTTGGCTCACACCTCTGATAACGGATGGCCGGCGGTCTCCGCGGCGGGCCGGTGATCTCTCCTCTGCAGAGCCGACCCGTGTGACCACCAAGGCCGCCGGGCCGGTCACCGCACCGGCAGCACTCACGTGTCGAACGGTGGAGAGGGGCATCTGGCCGACCTTTCGACCCGACACCGCATCTCCCGCAGTCTGGGATAATCCGCGCCCATCGCCAGATTACCACACACACAGTACATGCAATACGTTGATTTCCTGAAAATGCCCCCGTCGGTCACCGACTTCTTCTCTGAGAGGAGCCTTTTTATCAAACCTCTCACCACACAGGTCGTTCGCCTTTTTTAGGCCTCGACGTTTCTGAAAACCACTTCGATATGAGCTTTGCACAATGCACAATATATCATGACGGGTATGTACATGTTGAGGATGAGGTTAAGAGGGCGCCATCTTGCTTTTTCAATTATTGTTTTAATATTTTTATATTATTCTCTTAGTCTTATAAACTGTAGGAAATCATGCACGTAGCTGCTGACATACGAAAGCAAAGGTATATTGCGGATATAAGCATCGAAAAGAACCTTTCAATGACTTTAGTGGAATTGGATTCATGTTTGCATTGCATGTAGTATGTCTGAATCTGAAAGCCTTGTCCGTTATCACGAATGTGTCGGAGTACCTGCGTCCAGTGAACAACATCAAACCAACAACGATGTTTCTCTAAATTTTTGCCTGTTTCACGAGGAATTTGCTTTGTGAACGATGTGTATCCGGTCAGGCAAATTATCAGTAGGTCGGTACAAAACCCGTTCAGCACCCTGTACAACACAGTTACATCTTCGTTGAATCAGTTTCAAAAGTCCAACTTCTCTGTTCGGATTTCCCCTAACAGTGTTGAACACGGCCCTTTTGAGTCGTCCCCGGCACTGACAGGCACGGGAGCGTCGCATGCAGCGTTTTGCTGACATGTTCCGGCGCGTGTGTGCATGTCGCTACATGCGTCACGGTGCAGGTCACCTCACCACCCCATGCATCTTTCCTCGGCCGTCTTATCTCGTGCAGAAGACAATTAACCAAGGGAGGTTTTTGGCGAAGGTTTTGGAAGACTTTGCTGGATAGAAAGATTGGAGACGAGGCGGGGGGATTATGTGTCAGAAATCCAATAAATGTCCCGTTCTGACCGGAACTAGCTCCGGTTGCGGTAAACGAGAGCCCGGCTGGTAATTTCGGGATCGGTTAGCCAACGATGATTCACGAGTCATATTTGACTGGTCATTGCCACACTACTTTTCCGTGCCTTGTTTACTTCCAGGATTTAGGAAATCCCCTTCCCTTTGAAGCTCGTGCCACTGCCGTATGTCAGTCTTCTCAGAACTGTCGGGTCCAGTGGTTCATACGTTACTACTCAACCTGCCGAAATCGGTGACGATGACACAAAAGGTATTTAGAAGGGGGAATATTTGTTTCTGGTCCCTAAAAAGCTGTTTCTGGCACCTAATTGCTGATCAGCCCCAAAATGCTTACTCGACCCTAATATCTGAATCTGGCACCTAATTGCTTCCACACAGCCTAAAGTTGCCAGATCGTCTAGTTGAACTCCGTATTTGCTGTTTGCTGATTCAGCACCAAAACCAAAACATCCAGCACCTATTTTATTCCACGTTTGCCTACCTAATTCGCGTAATCTTCGTGATTTTATGTATCCTAATAAACATGAACGTTGCATTCGGTGATGTCAAGTGCCATTTTCGCCAGTGGAGATAATGATTAATGCCATTTCTAGCCAAAAGAGAATCACTAGCCAGCTATGGTGCAGCATAGCAAGACGCTCCTATACCAGCCCGCTATGTAGAGATTATTGCACCCTCAGCCATTTTAACAACGTGAAAAGTTTGGATCCGTCACTTCCAGCCAGGCTCTCAGGTCATAAACTGGAGTAAAGCAAAATGTCAACTCTGAACAGACATGCCACGCAACCGGCCCTCTTTTCAATAGCTTTCTGCAATCATCGTCTGACTCCATCTCGATCAAACGCAGCATCCGGTTTCTACAGGGGCGTTTGACTGACCGGCCACACAATAACCAAAAACAAAATCAAAGCTTCATGCACACATAAGTAAGAAACGGATGAAAAAGGCACAACCACGGCACAACTCTGCGCGGCAAACAACGGACAATGTCCCACGCAAGATCTCGCGTTTCTTCAGCGGCCTTGAACGGAATGAAAACATTACATTTCTTTTTTGGAGCTATTTGATGACGTCAAAAAATGCAATACCCGTTTTAATGGTGAAAATCGAGACAATTACTCACAAAAATGTTTCCCTTTAAGCATTACAAATAAATACTTTTAAATATTTAAATGACATTGTTTTTTCGAACAAATCAATATTATTTGCTTACTTAAACGTCATATACAATGCTGAGATCACTACGGGGCTGTCTTAGAGTGTAGCTGCACTGGCAACCTTTAGGCTAGACTCCAGGGGTCATTATACCAGAACAACATGATTCTACCAGCCAGTAGTTCATTTTTCTACTAGATTGGTGCTACGCTCAGCATTTAGGTGCCAGATTCAGAAAAAAGAGTAAGGCGTACCGATGAATAGGTGCCAGAAACAGCTAATTAAGGTCATTTTCCATGATTGGTGCTGGTATCCACCAAATAGGTGCTGAGGACCAATTTTGGGGCGAGTCAGCTTTTAGGTGCCAGAAATAGCTTTTCTGGGACGCAATTAAATGGCGTCCATTTAGAAGAATGGAAAAGGATTTTTGCAACATTCTGCCAGTGGCAGAGTCCCAAAAACATTTATGAGCCCCATGCACAAAACGGATTCCATGGTTTGGTTGGCTTAAAATGGCAACTGTAAGGCCATCACTTGCGCTTGCTTTATACCTATTGTGGAATATAACCATTGCGTGTTCATCCATCCATGCTCACCCATGTCTATTCCCTGTTTCTTTTCGAAGCAATGTCTGGACATCCCACGTTCTAATCAATATGTAGACGGCATCGGTCTTGTATACATGTCATGCTTATGCTTGTGGAATGCATCATTAATATACAACCGTCTGTCTGCGAATTTACTACGTACCTTGCAAGGCACCCATAAGGTCACCATGCATATGCATTAGCCGGAAATTCTGTCATGCCGACTACGGTTAGCGAGGTGGACATAAGAACAGTACGGAATCTGGTCTAACGGTATATCTGCTGTAATTGAATTGTGGACACGTTTGATATAATGGACATGGTGGATACGGTGGAAATCAGATATGATTGACGCCGTGGATATACGATGGTTGTACTGTGGTCTGTGGATACGATGATTGTAAGTACGGTTGACCCAGTGGACACAGGACACGGTGGTTAAGTGTAATTTCCGCGGCTATCCCAGTCCAGTACAGGAAGCACTGTGATCTGTGATCAATCCGGCATTGTTTGGCTTTGTGTGTCTTCAGGGAGGGGGGGGGGGCGCATGGCTAGGAGAAAGCAGAAAACCAGTGTAACAGCCGATGCCAAGTCGGCAAAGCCGCCAAGCCAACACTGATGTCATGAAGATGCCGTGCCCTGACGACTTGAATATTTTCACACATGATTCCGTCACCGCGTGGCCCCTATGTAGCCGCTCAATGCTCATACACCCAAGGCTATATAGAACTCCCATCCACCTACTGTAACTGAGAATTACCCATCAGCTGTTGTGACATGCCTGGTACTTACCGAATGGCCGTTCTCTCGCGACTACCGATAGCCCTCTCTCCGCCTGCTCCGACCCCTCTCTCCTCCCTCCCTCTGCCGGTGGCCGTCTGCCGCTATTGCAGACGATGCCAGACACTGATGCCGGATGACCTTGATGATTGTTGCCGTCGATGCAGCCTCGCCAATGGCGGCTGGATTTGGCGACAGGCCGTCTGCTGTGGAGCTGAGTTGGCACTGGTGGCCATCTACTGGTGACCTTAGTGACCTTAATATCTTGTTGTCCAGCTGACCTATCTTGCCTAGAGCGTCAGTATACAGTTTGCCTTTTTCAGGACCTCTGTTTTACTGCGCTGTTTGTTGACCTTCGTTGACCTGAGACCCTTGTTGACCATTGTTGACCTTTGTTGACCTTTCTTGAACTCACTCAGACCTTTGTTGTCTGAGTGACCCCGGCTGACCATGGTGACCTTTTATTGTCTTCCTGACTCTTAGTTACCTAGGTGGCGCTACGGGTGACCTCCAGTTGTCCTTCTGTTGACCTGTTTACCTATGTTGACCTGAGCTGAGAAGCGTTCGAAGTGACCACAAACCGACGTTTGTGACCTCCTGCTAACTCCTGGCTTCCATTGTGACGTATCTTTTCTACCACCGCCAGCTCTGCTGCGGGATATGAGCTACGAGGACCTGCCCGCCTCGGATACCTACCGCCTGCTGCCTGACGTTTGTGACGCTACTGGCGGGGGCGGGGGCGGGGGCGGCGGCGGCGGCGGCGGCGGCGGCCCGCCCGACCACGACGGCGCCCAGCTGCGGGTCCGACCCGCTCAGGTCAGTCCGGTTGGATGTCAGTTGACCGGTCAGGTCATGTGACAGATGAGGGAATAGTGAAAAATGTGACAGCTAGTGATTCGAATGCCGAGAGCAAACATGGTTCGGGATTGGGACATTTCACCCTTCAACTCCGCTCATCGAAGTACAAAAATGATTATAGCTATGTAAGTAAAACAGATTATATCGTTTTTCAATTTTACTGAGGCAACCTTTCGATCATTTTTTGCTTGAAGTAGCGAGGAAAACACGCTTTGATTGCGTGGTACTGCCATAAACAATTGTCAAGTGAAGAAAACAAGGTAAATATTTGTCAATTAGCGCCGTAAAAATGACTGTCGTGCCCGTGACTGACATATCGGGAACCAATACCGACGTGTAACATGGGCACACTGGGGTGCTCTTCATTGCATTTTGCAACATTCCCCAGCGCGGTGTCAATATTTCAAACAGATCCACCCGTCAAAGCATCGATTTGTGCCACGCTTCCAAGTACGAACCTTTCACTTTTAGCAAGAACCTTAAATAATGATAATGCAATGGCGTCTGCCACTGGACCCGTACATCATCACCCTAGCTGGTTTGCTTCTTTACAGCTGCAACTAATAAACAAACCTGAAACTTAAAACGGCTCTTAGGCAATCATTAAGCTGGTGAATGCGTCAAATGTGATTGATTGGTAGTGATCGGATCGATTCGAAGCTTCAACATACACCAACGGGACCAGTTGAAAGATTAGCGATTGGGGAAAGCTTAGAGGCATCAGCTGAAATATTTCAGCGTTGGTATTGCAACATGAGGATTATGCCGTGGTGTTGTTTTCTGTATGACACTATATCATTATCTTCAGAAGGAGTTCAGAGGCTATTTTCAACCTGCCGACTCAACCGTGGTCCAATTTTTATTAGCTTCCGTTCGTAAACTTTGGTTCGATGCATGAATACCAGAAAGAGCGTGCTACCTTGTACTTAAAAAAAGTCTTCATTAAAATGTCTTTTCTGCACAGTATGCAATTATGCATTGTTGATTCATGGTTATAAACGCCAGCGTTAAGCGTAAACAACACAATGACGGAATTTGAGGCTATCTAAAACATTTGAAGACCACAAAAGTCACTAAAATGTTCGAGATATCAGTGCTGTATAGCCGTGCATGTAGCATGCGCCAACATCGCCGATGTAACCTTTGACTTTCTGGGCTGGTAGGCCATGTTTTTATGGTATTAAAGAACACCTGCAATCTGCTAGTTTACCATCAATCCACTTACATGATATATTCGCTTTTTTTGCGCAATATCTTTTTACAGGGTCAGCGATCATATGCCGTTGTAGCTAGCATGTTCATTGCATTCAGTGCACCTGGGGTTGGTTTAGTAAGTTCCTGTGGCGTGCTGGTCCGGCCTCACCCGTTCCTCGGCTACCTACATGCAGTGTCTTCCTGTTCCTTCAAGCTGTCGGACAACTGACAATGAATGCCATTGATGATACCCGTTTGATGGAATTGGTTTATTATTTACTAGCCTGATATTGCGCACATATAAGGCAGCGTATCTTAGAATGTTTTGGAAGTTTTGTGGGCATGGCAGCAGCTTGAAACTTCAAAGGCATTGCCTGTTCATAATGCCAGTTTCAGTATTGTTTTACCTTCATTATTTTCATGCTGCTCAACATTTATTGTGCTGTTGTCGATATTTTCGGTTGGGAAATTAATTCTGGAGTGTATAGAAAAAGCATGGAAAAGGCAAAAAAGAAAAAGCAAAAAGCAGGAAGTTTCACGATGAAGATTGCATGACAGGTTTCACCTCGGCTGTGCACGGGTCGCGTCAGTGCTTCTATACCAGCGATACAGGATTCCTGCCTAACCGAGCTGCAGGCGACGACCTCTAATCGGGGCCTCTGGCGGTGCTTAGTCGACTTACCTGTCGAGCTGACAGCACTTTAGCGTGGATAATTAGTAAAATGTTATGACATGGGCATGTGCTTGGTAGATGGATCATAGTTGCAACTTTGCACTGGCGTGTCAGTCATGCACCGTTATGATTTTGCCAGCGAATTTTGATCACTTGCTTGATTAAATCAAGCATTTTGATTCTAGTACACCGCGAGTTTTGCTTCAACAAACAAAATGCAAGCGGCAAGAAGCCGGCTCTTTCGTTCTATTTTCGCATTTCTTACGGTACCGCAGTAAGTATTTCATGCCATGCATGTCGGCTGCAGCCGCATCTCGTTATAAATACCCGGGTAATACCGCTCCTGTCACCGCTTTACTCGGCTTGCGGTAAGGGCTGGCCAATTAGAGTGCTGCGCGGCGGCCACTTAGCGCAGGGCCGGCCACTTCCAGGTCGGGAGCCGTGACCCGACTTCATTTCGGCAGCGCGGCCACCGCGTGCAGGCGGGGCTGGCTCCTCGATTAGTCGGGAATGCAGCGGGCGGTGCGGCCCCAGGCCAGGGTGGGAGACGGCCGTGTCATTTCCTTCTTGGCGGAGTGGGCCGAGACAACACGGTCTCCGATGGCCGGTGGTCTGTAGGAACAGTGGATAGCGACACTTTTTGAGGGACGAACAGAAGTGTGACAACCGGTTGTATTGTGTATTTTACGTTATGTCAAGCTCAATATTTACTAAAGCTTTTATTATAAGCATAATTCTTAAACATGTTTGTAATCCCGTAAATAACTGAACCATTCTTCAATGCCCATTTTTTTCAGAAAGCTTGCTGCATTACTGCAATTAATACGAAATATGACGAATTACGCCGCATTTCATGCTGTATCCTAATCAAATTTAGCGTCATCTATAAAATATGTTGCAAAATGACGTATATTTTCTCAAATATAGCGGAAATCATAGCACTAACTGTCGTTTTCGCGGGCTGTAGCGCTGCTGGCGCTGCTAAGGCTCGCGAAGGCTGCTGCAAACGGCCGCCAACGTAATCAGATGACTCACCATGCTACTGATAAGGGGAGCGATACGAACTCATTTGCAGTCAGCCACGGCCGGCATGCAATATAGCCCGCCTCGCCGCCAAAGGTGCCCGACAGTCGCCATGAAGGGGATGAGAGGCACAGAGGAAGGGAAGAGAGGGGATGTGGGGAAAGAGAAGAGAGCGCGGGAACGTTTTGGAGAGTAAGTTGACCGAATTTGCATAAATGACTACCCCCCCCCCCCAAAAAAAAAAATGAAAAGTTCTTTTATAATGACTCTGTTACCCGTGCTTGAGTTTTCACTTTTCAGCTTAACTGCAGTTTTGAGTGGGAGCTGGGCGCTTTTTTACTCTGAAAATCCAAATATTTGTGCTTGATTTGCCTATTCACCATAGCTGGCGGCTCTTCCGTCCATTGTTTTTGTTTTGTTGGGTTAGGCCCTTTCTGTCCAATTAGACCATTTCAGAGCCGGGAGGATAATAGGATATAGGGGAGACATTGGTCTGGGCAGGCACCCTAGTGAGTCGCCGGGGCTGAGCCCGTCCAGAGGACAGGCCACCCAGCCCCAAGGCACTCACTGCACCCGGCTACGGGGTGCGCTCCCTCGGGAGCAGCGGTGCCGCTCCAAGGGAGCAGCCCGCATGAGATAAAGTTGCCTGTCCAGCCCGGAGGGGGGTTGTGGCGTGGAGGAGAAGGATTTCAGTTTCCTGAGGATAGAAGCATGGAACGGTGTGGTTCCGTCCAAGATCGTCCAATCTTATGTGAAGTGCTTATTATCCATGACACGCCGGTGGAGGTCGCGCGGGTCGGGTGGTCGCCCCCTGGCTCGACTGCCCAATGTCCATAGCGCCCTGTGCGGGTCGGGCGGGTCGGACGGGTCGCTCGGGTCGGTTGAAGGGGTCGCCCCTGGCTCGACTGTCTAATGTCCATAGCGCGCCCGGTACGGCTCCGCCGCGCCGGCGGCCGCTGCAGCTAGCCTCGGGCACCGTCAGTCGAGCTGTGGGAGCCGCCTCGCTGCAGCTCCGTGCAGGAAGCAGGGGTCACTATGGTGGGCGGCGTGGGGTCGCGCAGGGTCACAGGTCACGTGACAGGGCCGCTACGAGCCGACTGGCGGCGGCCGGGAGAGAGACCTCAGGCGGATGACGGAGTGAATAACTGGCGAGGGAAGTGGAACGAGAAAGAGAGGTATTCAGGCTCTGTGCCTTCTCTATCTCTCTTTCTCTCTCTCTCTTTCTCTCTTTCTCTCTCTTCTTTGTCTGATTCGTCACGGCATCTCCTCTCCCTTCCACCACTTCCCCACAGGCATTTCCCAGTCATCCTCCCCTTCCAGCCCCGTTAACACCCTCAGCAATCCGCAGCATCCGCACTCCGCAGTATACCTCTGTGTCAATCTGCTGGGCCCTGTCTCTTTTTTTTCTAAGCCGCCGCCCATGATCAGACGACCAGGAGTGTCCACCCACTGACCCACGCGACAACAGCACCTTACGTTAACACCTCCCAAGACAAAAATATGAAGAAAGTCGCGACACTCCCTGCTAAGAAAAAGGAAAGCAAACAAAACAAAGCTAAATACAATACTTAGTAAGTTAGTAAAATGTCATAAGAAGAGGCAAAGAAGTCAAGACTAAATGTAGCTTGACTGGCCGCTACACCATTCCCAAAGAAGATAGTGAGAAGGAGAGAGTGATCCAGGGGTTAGTGGTAATAAGCGCATGCAAAGCTTGCATTATAGAAGAGGGACAGAGCCTAGTCACACCCGGAGGAGTCAGATCCTCACCGAAAAGGGATACCGAGCTAAGCAAGCTTGTTGCTCGGTAAACCCAGTTCGGTGGGAAGTATCGTAGGGCTGATTTACGTATTGTTACGTATCCAGGAGAACTTAACCCTCGCCGGACCTATTGGTTTTCTACATACGCGCCGGCCGAGGGGGGGGGGGCGGGTACGACCCCCCCCTCGCCGTTTCGCCCCTGGTGGAGCTAGCGCGTCGCGGAAAAAACGAGCGTGTGCGCCGTTACGAGACGCAGAGATTGGTACCCGATTTTAAGGTCCTAGGTCATCCGGTGACCTCTGAGGTCAGG